ATATATCATAATTATTATATGTTATATATAAAGTTTTATATATAAATTAAATATAAAAGTAGAACTCTAACCCAGATTTTTCTAAATATAACTACTACTGTCACTCAAAAAATACTTTCAAGTTTGACATCCAAAAAGTAACATGAGGTCAGCTATAATTATAAGCATTCCTTGAAAGCCTCCTATGTTAGTATTAGTCCTGGCAGGAAAAGTTTGTTGTTGTTGTTTTCATTTATTTGCATCATTATTAGAACAGAGGTGCAAAGAAAAAAATCATTAACACATGTGCTTACATATAAAGAAAAAGATGTATTGAGGATAATACATGTATTATATTGAGTGTATCTTAGAATCAAAAAATGATATTACTTTGGAAAGTTAACTCCTAGAATTAATTAACTTTGACTTTAGATAACTCTAAATGTAAATGTAAATTGATCTAGCATTGTACTTTCCACATATTAGCTCAGTAAAAGCTTTCAGAAATTGAATTATTCCATTTTCTAACATTGGTTTATTATTTATCCTTTCTAATATTCTTATAATGCATGTCAAGATATATTGAGAGTGAATTTAAACCTTAATATTTTAAACATTTGAATGCTTATAATTATAGCTGACATATTGTCATGTATTGGTAGAAGAATTTAGAAAGGAATATAAATGAAGAGTTCCTTAATGATAGCTTCCATTTGATTTAAAAAAACAGAACTTCTGTTCATTTGTCCTAAGTATTTTACTTTTTTCTTTCTGCTATTAAGGGAAAAGCTTTCAGCAACAAAGGGAAGCCATGAAGCAAACCATAGAAGAAGATAAGGAACCAGAAAAATCAGGTTGGACATTTATATTTGACATATAGGAGAGATTTCTTGAGTCTCTATCTGAGTTAGTTTAAATGAACTTAGCCGAACTGTCAAGGTGTCAGAGAGATGTGAGAGTATCTTAACTGACTATATTATTTAAGATACATTAAGATTAGAACAAGACTTAAATACTCAAAATTACCTACAAATGCTGTGACATTGATAGAAAGTTATAAATACTTAACAGACAGTATTCATGGTTCTTTTAGGAGCAGTGTTATATTTATAAATGTAAATTAAAAACTATTTGAATTTTTCAGTTTGAAATATGTAAGTCTATACAGGGAAACAAATATGACATTTATAGTTATGTTTATTATTGTTCAATAGGAAAACTATGGTGTGCAAAGAAGAATAAAAAGAAGAGGAAAAAGGTCTTATATAATGCCAATAAAAATGATGGTAAGTTCTACTCTAAGAGCACGATTTATATCTGAAATAGGTCCAAATCTAATACAAAAAATTAAACATATTTGGAAGTTTTATTTCTAGTTCTATTTTGCCTCTTACTATGATGTATATATTCTTAAAATCATTTCTGCTAAACTGTTTTCTTTTGCAATTCTGTGAGTAATGCATTGTTTTGAAATCTGAGAAATACAGGCATAAAAATTAAAGTACAATTAGTATGTGTAGTGTTAACATTCATAATTTCAACTGTGACATTCTTCTGTTTAAACAATGAAATTAATATATGCTTGCTTATAATGTCTAGTATGATAGCTATATGTGCTGTAAAAATGACTATTTTTATCTATAGTAACTCATGTCAAAAAGAGACTCTCATTTCATAAAGCCTTGCTACCTGCTTTTAACTAAGGCATACAGAAGTGTTTCTGTTTTAATTTAATTTATTGCTAAGATTTTTAAAAATTAAGTTTTAGCTTGTTTTTGAAATCAAAAACTAGTAATACTTCATTCTTATTCCCAAGAAACCTCATGTTGAACCTGAGTGATATCTGTTTCTTCTCTGTTGGGTACCTTACTGTCAGTAAGTCATCACCTCCAAATTTCTTCTAAACTCAACCTGATCTAACAACTTCATTACCTTCTTGGTTGGTCCTTAGCGGCATTAAAAGTTGGTCCTTACCTGCTTTGGTTCATGCTAAAAACAAAAAAAATAAAGGCACTACTACTTACATAATTTATAAATTTATTCTCTCTCTTTTAGGCAACATAAATTAATGAAAATTGGAGGTTCTAAAATATTGAACTATCCCTTATAAAACTAAACTTTAGATTTAATGCATTTTAATAAAATATTTTCTAAATTATCTTTTAGTACAAGCTTACAGCTTATATAACTAAGAACATTTATTGAATTTTTAATCACTGAAGTATAAGTACTTTTAAGTACCAAAGTATAGAAGACTAAATTAAAAAGCGCAGAAGCTTCTGTATCTTTTAAAACAGACAAAAATTAATTGCTTCAGCTCTAGTTAGTATACTCTAGAAAACTTACAAATATAAGTCTACACATAGGTAAACTAAATCTGTAAATCAAAATGCTGCTACAATCTGACTATAGATTTAGCAGAAGGAACTCAGATTTTTCAGAGGGAAAGGCATTTTGGGGAAGGAATTACAATTCTATTTCTGGTAGTGTTGTTTTATTAATATTTTGTTAGTAGTAACTATCACTTATAATAAGCTCTATTTCAGGGGCAATAACAGTGTTTTTAGTCACCTTCATGTATTTAATTCTCACAATAAATTCCTTGAGACTACAGGTTAAATTCAAGTTCTGATATTACACGTCACTGTCCTAACTAAATTTGTGGTTGACCTGGAATTTAGACAAATACAGTTTGAGCTCCTACTCTGTGCCATGCTAAGCACTGGCAAAACTGCTGTGCTTCCTCTGCCTTCCTGGAACATATATCTGAGGGAGTCTGACTATGAGTGCTCTTTTCCAGTAAGGATTAGTACTGTGAGTGAGGACATGGCAGGCTGCTAGTTATTTGCTTTCGTCCTTATCACTTCACAATTCTGGTTTCATCTGGATTATAAAATTTAGGAATGATATCCCACTGATTATAATTTACCATTCTTGAATCATAGCCTATATTAGTATTATTCCCCCCCAAAAAGGTGAACATAAGTGCAGAAGTTATACAGTCACAGTCTTATATTCCAGCTTTCTCTAAAAACACAGGGGTAGCTACTATTTGTAAATGTGCCAGATGCTGTACTCAGCATATACTTTATTTCTGATCCTAAAACCAACTTATAAATATCCTCCATTTTATAACAATGACTTTTATTATTTTCATTAATTTATCCTAATGATGCCTCCTCACCCCCTGTCAAAGTATTATATAAGAGCCAGTATCATTGTAATATACATTCAAGTACAGTATGAAGTAAGAATAAATAATTTCTAGAAGGATTAGTGTGTTATCTGATTTATTTTCATACTGTCCTTACAAGGATTTAATGACAAGGATATAATGGGGAAAATACAACCCTATTATTGCCAACATCCAAATATTTGAGTGTTTTTTAAATAATAAATTGTACTATTCCCAAATTTTTGATCTCTAAATTTCTTTAGTGCATAATTGTTCTCTGATGGGCTTTCTGCCTTCTTTTTAAAAGATTATGACAATGAAGAAATCTTAACTTATGAGGAGATGTCACTTTATCATCAGCCAGCAAATAGGAAAAGACCTATCATTTTGATTGGTCCACAGAACTGTGGCCAGAATGAATTGCGTCAGAGACTCATGAATAAAGAAAAAGACCGCTTTGCATCAGCAGTTCCTCGTAAGTTTGGATGTATTCCCATTTTCTTGTGCTTTTCAACTGTTAACACCGTTAGAACCTGATTTTGTGGGGGTAACATTTCATTCATTCCATCAAAACAATGGTGTCAAAGAGGAACTTCATTTTTAACCAAATCTTTTGGACAAGTTATTACAAAGATAATCATTTTTGAGAAATTTAAAGTTTTTCTTAGGAGTATGATAAAAGTGGTTTTCTAAATGAAGTTCAATTTGGACCTCTTACGATATGGAATCAGCTCCCAGTTCCTTAAATTGATGTAGAAGATAGAAATGTAGACCTAATCTCTGAACATAGAAGTTTTATTTAAATATTATATAATACCTGACCTTATGGAAAGACTTTAGGGAAAGATGAGTAGCAGTGTTGTAAATGCAAGAAGTAATTTAAAGTACATGTAAAATATATTATAGTAATTAAATAACTATTATTAAGATACTGAAAACATTTTTATTTCTCAATCTAAAAAGTCAGTGCTAAATAATTGTCTATTGATATACCTTAATTCATTGTTTTATGATCGTATTACACAATAATTTAGAATTATCCCCTCTCCTCACTTATTAAGCTCTTTATTTTTCATTGATTTTTGCTTAGATACCACTCGAAGTAGGCGAGACCTTGAAGTAGCTGGTAGAGATTACCATTTTGTTTCACGGCAAGCATTTGAGGCAGACATAGCAGCAGGAAAGTTCATTGAGCATGGTGAATTTGAGAAAAATTTGTATGGAACCAGCATAGATTCTGTACGACAAGTGATCAACTCTGGAAAAATATGTCTTTTAAGTCTTCGTACACAGGTAAAGCTGTTTTGGTGTAAGGTATTGAACTTGAAGGCCTTTATTGCAAAATAATTTGGTGGAAAATGGGTGTTCATCCAAAACTTACCAGCTCTAACTAAATTGACAGACATTGTTTTCCCCACTTCGCCAATTCCCTATGTGGAATCAGACAGATGACTAAATCTCTTTCAGAGATTCACACATACCTACAAATATACACTACATATTTTCTGAAACTAAAAATATAATGTAGTACTGGTTGTACTTTTGTGTTTTAGATCTTAAGAATCCATCTTTTCTGAGGAAAATTGGGATATTTAGAGGTAATTTTTATGGCTATAAATGCCATTGTTTAAGTATATTAACAAGTATCATGATGAGTCCTTGATTGTGTGTAGTAAAACTTCAATTGGTTTCTGTTATTTAGCAGACTAAGCAAAAGCTTTGAAAATTAATAGCAATTCCTTTTTAGATTTCAATTTAGAAGATAATTTTGAAATTCAAAATTTTTAAGATTGTGTTTGTTAATGGAATTTTTATTTTTCTAGATTATAGTTTCAAAATAAAACTTTCCCTAATGTGATGTAGTCTGCTCTATATGTCATCTCAGGAAACATAGGCAGTGGTCATTAAAGAGATAAGTGAAAATTGACTCTAAAATGGATATCCTGAAATAGAAATTCAGTTTTCTGGCCCTCCCTGGTGGTGCAACAGGTTAGGATGCAGCATTGCAAATTAGCCACAACTGCTGCAGTGCAGGTTTGTTCCCCAGCCCTAGAGGTGACCTCTCCTGTCTTGCCCACTACTCCCCTCAGCAGTATACTTGGTTGATCTGCCTGTTCTGTAACTGGCTCTGTCTCTGGTGAAGCCGATCACCGCCCCTGCATCTCTGACCTGTACCCCAGTTCTGTATGCATAAATAACAAAACCTTAAAAAGAGAGAAATTCAGTGTTCTTTGTTTAGTGGACATATAATTTTAGTATCCACAATTTCAATTATAAACATTTGAAGAGAAGTAGAAGTGTTTTTAAATTTCTTCAAAATTCTTTATATTTTTTAAGCTAACAGGTTTATGAAACAATTTAGAATAGGCATATGTCTTAATGATCTTAATAATTTTTGATTGGAAAGGGCCTCTCCTGTTAGATCTCAGTACGATGGAGTGCTTCAGTTTAGGGACACATTTATATAATGGACAAGGCAAGCAGCCTTCTTAATTCAAACAGTGTAAATTGTTTGTTATGAGGGTATTTGGAACGTTCAGATAGTGTTTTTAAATAGAGCATTTTCATACTCTAGATACATTGTTGGGAAGTTAATGATGAAAATTAAAGATCTAAAACACCTCTTCTTTATAGTCTTTGAAGACTCTCCGGAACTCAGACTTGAAACCATATATTATTTTCATTGCACCACCTTCTCAAGAAAGACTTCGGGCATTATTGGCCAAAGAGGGAAAGAATCCAAAGGTAACATTTATATACTATTGTACATTCCATTGAAGATAAATATGACACAATTCTGGCCTCATCTGTCATGGTCTTGAGCTTAATGACTGACTATTCTTTCTGCTACATAACTGTTCCCAAAGTTGTGATGGTGCAGTGGATTCTGATTAGACCATGGCAGCTCTCTAATGCAAGGGACTTTGTGTTCTGCACATTCCCTGCTGACATTCTTTAATACATCAATCATCTTCACTTGGATCTGTGTTATTTCCAAGAAGCATTAGGTGACACCCCAGTCCATCCCTACAGAAAAAAGATTCTCAGCAAATTCTTAGGGATTACCACTTTTCCCTGCAGATTTTTTTGCATCTGTTGGAAGCCAAAGTTAAGAGTGCTGTCATTTTTGTCTTCTTTTTTCTCATTGAAATTTTATGTTTTCTCCCTCTTGTCTTCTCACATGATCTTAAATGGAAAAAAAATATATTTTTAAATGTTGAACAAAGTTGAGGTCATCCATATTACACTAAACATTAATGTAAAATAGTGACATTAATAAGAAGACCTTGACTTTTTATTTAGATATGTGAAATGAAAGCTCTTACTACAAATCAAAATAACAAATATTCTTCTTTATTTCTTAAATCTTTTTGTTTTAGACAGGGTTCACTGAGATCTCATTTGCTGTGCTCTAAATCTCTTTAAAAGCCTAAAAACATACAACATTCTTCGAAAAAGTCATTCAAAGTATTACACTCCTTTCCTTTGGTTCTTTACTGTTCATCACAACCTCTCACACTCCTTCCCCCCACCCCCCACCACATCTTTTTCTACTCTAGATGTACTTATATTTCATATTCAGTTTTGTTTGTGAAAGTAGTATTTTTCAATGTCTTTGGCTAAGTCAGAGACCTCCACATCATACATGTTGAGTATAATTCAGGTTGCTTATCTAGGCTTAGTTCACTAGCTAGTTAAAATAGCTTTTTCCTTTTTCACTTGGATTTGTTCATAAATGAGAGGGGTCAGAGTATCTGCTGTCCTTGCACTTAAGAAAACACAAAAGAAATGAGACATGGTTACTGGCTGTTCAGGGGAAAAAAACAGGTTTAATCCTCAACAAGTTAGTCCACAGTAGCTAGGTTGATAGATCAGAAACACTATGATTATGGAAGGAAATGGATGCATATTAGGGACCAGAGTGGACTTCATTCTACATGTTCAGCCTAAATTTCTACTTGCTAACAATGTGTATTTTTATTTTTAGGTTATTCTTCCACAAAGATTCAGTATCATACCAAGGACAATACACCATTCCAAAACTTGTTAGGCAGTTGTCTTTTGATTGGCAATCTGGCAGTTCACATATGAATTTCTTTTAACCTACTTTATTTGGAATTGCCATCCCAAATTGAGTGTGGTCTAGAAAGATACTGTTTATGCATATTATTAAAGCAGGAATTTAATCAGTATCAAAATATTTTAAAAATACACAATATGTTTGATTTTCAATTCAAATTTTTAATTTAAAAAATTAACCTTATTGGGGGTCAAGTATATGGTAAGAACATACTTGCTGGTAATCACAATGTAGTATTCACATGTAAATTGCATGTGTTATACCTGGAATATGCAAAATTATAAACCAGTGTTACTTCAAAAAAGTCATTTAAAAAAATAATATAATGGGACTTTAAAAGTTAACCTTATTGAGTTATACTTCACATATGATAAAATACATGCATCTTAAATTTACTTACATATAATAAAACACAGTTGTGGCAAAAGTATACCTTTTTGAATATCATGCAAATAAAGATTTAGAACATTTTCATAATCCAGAAATGTTTATCTTGCTCTTGGGAAGTTAATAACCCCTCCACCCTTCCCCATGTAACCATAATCTGCATTCTGTGGCAGATTGTTTTGTCTATTCTAAATATTAATAAAAATGGAGCCATATAGTATGTGTAAATTTGCATCTGACTTTGATTAGCATAGTTGTAGACTTCATCTCAGTTGCATCTAACAGTATATCATACTGTCTTTTGCTGAGTGGTTTCCCATGATCTAAGCATAGCACAGTTTGTCCATTTCCTAGTTAAAATGCTGTTTGGACTGTTTCCATTTTCGAGCTACTATGACTGAAACTGCTCTAAACATTCGTAAGAGTCTTTTGGCCAAAATATGTTTTCATCTCTCTTGGTAAATCCCTTGAAGTAGAACTGCAGGATCAAAAGTGGGGAGAGTGGGCATTCTTACCTTGTTAATGGAAAAGACTTTAGTTTTTTACCATTTGAGCATGTTAGCTGTAGGCTTGTCATATATGGCCTTTACTTTTTTTTTTCTTAATATGGTTCTCTTTTATTTATTTTTTAAAATAATAGTTTATTTTTATATCATTCTGTGTATTTTTCCATCTCAGTTGTAATTCCCATGGGGTTCCCATCACCAAATCACCCATGTACCGTCACCATAGACCAGTGCATTTCCCTCCCCCACTGTTTTTGATTCCATTCCCCACTCGGGTATATAGCTGTTCACTATTATTATTATTTTCTCACCTGGTCTGTTATACTCCTGCTATGAGAGAAACCATCTGGTATTTTTCCTTTTCTTTCTGGCTTATTTCACTAAGCATGATCTTTTCCAGCTCCATTCATGTTACTGCAAAAGGCATGTGTTTATTTTTTTTGGTTGCTGAGTAATATTCCATTGTGTATATGTACCACATCTTTTTAATCCAGTCATCCACTTTTGAGCATTTGGGTTGTTTCCATGTCTTTCCAATTGTAAATAAAGCAGCAGTAAACATGGGGATGCAAGTATCTTTTTGAATCAGTGTTTTTGTGTCTTTTGGGTAGATGCGTAGGAGTAGGATTGCTGGGTCATAGGGAAGCTCCATGTTAGTTTGAGGACCTCCAAACAATTTTCCATAGGGGTTGTACTAGCTTGCATTCCCACCAGCAGTGCAGGAGAGTTCCTTTTTCTCCACATCCTCGCCAACATTTGTTGTCGCTAGTTGTTTTTAAGATGTGCCATTTTCACTGGGGTGAGGTGGTGTCTCATTGTGGTTTTAATTTGCATCTCCCATATTACAAGTGATGTTGAACATTTTTTCATATGCTTGTTGGCCATCTGCATTTCCTCTTCTGCCTATTTTTTGATGGGGTGGTTTATTTTTGTTGAGTTTCATCAGTTCTTTGTATATCTTTGTGATCAATCCGTTATCGCTAGTTTTGTGTGAGAAAATTTTTTTCCAATTACTGGGCTGTCTGTTTTTGTAATGTCTCTTTTGCTGTACAGAAGCTCTTTAACTTGATGTAGTCCCATCTATTTATCCTTGCCTTCACTATCATTGCATTGGGTGTTGTAGCTTCGAAGATATTACTGAAGTGTATGCCGTGTAGTGTTTTTGCCCATCTTTGCTTCCAGGTAATTTAAATTTTCTGTTCTTATGTCATTAATCCACTTCGAGTTGATTTTTGTGTATGGTGCGAGGTAGTAATCTAGTTTCATTTTTTTTGGCATGGCCTTTTATATTTTTTTAATTATAAATGGATATTTTGTTAAATGCTTTTTTGGTATCCATTAAGATAAGCATTGTTTTATTTGCAGAAATTGAACCAGCCATACATCCTGGAATAATCCCACTTGTTAAGGGTGTATGATACTCTTAGTGTGCTGCCAAATTAATTTGCTAGTGTTTATAAGAGAATTTTTGCATATTCTACTCATCAGGCATGTTAACTTATAGTTTTCTTGATTATCTTTGTCTAGCTTTGGTATCAGGGTAATGCTGACCTTGTAAAATAAATTTGGAAGCATTCCCTCCTCTTCAGTTCTTTGGGAAGTATTTGAGAACAGTAGGTATTAAATCTTCAAATGTTTGGTACAATACATGGTGAAGCCAACTGATCCTGGACTTTTGTTTTGGGAGGTTTTGGATTACTGTTTGAATCTCCTTACTAGTAATCCATTTACTTAATTTTCTATTCATGATTCATAATAGAAGATTATATGAGTAAGAATTATGAAGCAATTGTCCAATTTGTTATTACCTAGATGTTCATAATCTCATGGTTTTTTTACATTTCTGTGGTATTGGTTGTAGCTTCTTTTCTTTCATTTCTGATTTTATCTGAAACTTTTTTTTCTTGGTGAGTAGAGCTTAAAGGTTTGTCAACCTTTTCAAAGAATCAGCTCTTAGCATCTATCTTTTTTGTTGTCTTTTTAGTCTCCTTTTCATTTATTTTCACTCTGATATTTACTGTTATTTTGTTTTTGCTAATCTTGGACTTTGGTCTTTTTATAGTTCCTTTAAGTCTAAAGTTAACATTATTTAAGATTTTTCTTATTTATTGAGGTAGACCTGTACTGCTGTAAAATTTCCTCTTAAATCTGATTTGCTGTATGTATCCCATAGATTATGGCATATTATTATTTTCATTTTTTGCTGGTTATTTTATTTCTCCTTTGATTTGTATGTGTAATTTGTAAAATTTTATAATTTTTTTCAGTTTTTCTTATAATTGATTTCAAATTTCATAGTATTGTAGTCAAAAAGCGATGCTCAATAAGATTTCAGTCTTGTAAATTGAGAATTATTTTGTGGCATAATGTGATCTGTTCTGCAGAATATATTCTGTGTACACATGAGAAAAATATATAACCTGCTGCTTTTGGATAGGATGGTATATATACATCTATTAAATCCATCTGTGGGGATAGAGTTGTAAACCCCACTGGCCTCCAGACCTGGTGATGTTGGGGTGTCCACCATGGAGATAACGATTAAGAATCAGAATGCTGGTATATATGTCCCTTTCTTGTAGGTACCAGTGAGACATAACAAGGCCAAGAGCAAGCATATACTATATCCCTTGGCTATCCCAAGATCTCTTCTGGCTTCAGTAGGGCCACAGGCTTGTTCAGGAGTTCAGTGACTAAGAATTAGCAAGATAGGAGAAATACTAAATGTACCCAACAGCACCTTACGTCCCAGAGAAAGTTCCAACCAACTGCCCCTGACAAATGCTAAATTAGCTAATGAGTCACCCTCATGAAGGTTTGGGCACTTTTTATAGGTTCTCAGGGTGAGTGAATCTGTAGGTTCCCTTTAAGAGCAGATTTTCTGTTCCCCATTGCTTTTTGGGTCTCCAGTTCATAAGTGCTGTTGGTTTTCAAAGCCTGTTGTTATAAGGGCGCAGAGAGGGTGTTCTGCAGGCCAGGTCCCAAGGGTTGTGTGATGTGGGCATGAACCCTCCCTTCTCAAGTTCAGCATTTATGAGCTAGGTCACCACTCTGGGGAATGAGCATTTTTGGTGAGAACACATCTGCCTCTGCCTCTCCTACCCATTTCAGTGTTTTGTTGTTGTGGAGAATCTGTTCCCATCTTCAGATATTTTTCACAGGAAAATGTTCCCTATGCAGCTGTGTATTTGGTGTGTACATGGAAGGAGAGTGACTCCTGGATTTTCTTTTGCCTCTGTTGAACTGCCTCATGGCCTCCCTTTGTGTCTTAATGCTATCATTTGAGATCAGGAAAGTTTAATGACAGTTTTTCATTACTCTTCAGGTTTATGATTTTTGTGCACTGTATGTAAATTTTGCCTACTCTGAGATAATAAAGACTTTGCCCTGTGTTTTCTCCTAAAGCCTTTTTAACTTCTACTTTGAGACCTATGATCCCTCTCAATGTTTGTTTTAATGTGCAGCCAGGATGGAACATGACTATTTTTTCTTTTAAACTTTGTTTTGGTTATAATCACATGTCCATATCCATCACCTCTTTAAAAAATCATTTCTCCCATTGAATTACATTAGTCACTTGTCAAAAATGACCTGATCAGATATTTCTGTATGTGGAGTCAGAAGGTAGAATTAGTTCTGGACTCTTGTTTTTATGCTAATAAAAGTGTCTGAGATTACTAACATAGCTTTAAGTCTTGAAGAACAGGTATAAAAAGGATGAAGTTGTTGAAAACATGCTACTGCATGGATGGATCTTGAAAACAAAATTTAAGGTAAAGCAGTCAAAAAGGACTACATAATACATGGATCCACCATGTGGAATGTTTAGAACAGGAAATTCAGAGATTTAAAGTTGATTAGTAGTTGCATAGGGCTGAGGAATGGGAGAAAAAAAGGAGTAACTGCTAAAGGATATGGTTTAGAGATAATGAAAATGTTCTAAAATTGGGATGTTGATTATACAACTCTAACTCTACTAAACATTATTGAATCCTATACTTTAAGTGATTGACCTGGGTGACTTATAAATTATTTATCAAGAAAACTGTTACTGAAAACAAATAGCAGTCTTTTGTGTAGAAATTTGGATTTTTAAAATTTATATGGAAATTAAAATTAACCACATTTACCTTAAAATTTGAGGACTTTTTTCTTCATTGCCTCTCTTTTTTGATTTCTACTTAACTTCTGTTTATTTTTTCCTTGTCAGTTTTAATTTATACTTCCTCTAGTTTCTAAAGATAAAAACTTAAGCCATTCTTATTTTCTAATACAGGCATTTGAAGTTAAAATTTTCCAAGCATTTAATTTGGAGGTTCTATTTTTTACTATCATTTTGTTAGAAATACATTCTAATTTCCCTTGTCTTTTTCTTCATTAACCCATGGGTTATTTAGAAGTATGTGATTTAGAAGTATGAGATTTTTTAAATCTTACTGATTTATAATAGTGCATTCAGAAAGCATATTCTCTAAGATGAGAATCTTTTAGTTTGTTGAGCCTTAATGTATGGCTCAAATCTGGTTGTATGTTCCATGCACACAAGTAATACTTCTTCTAGTGTTGGATAGAAGGTGATAATTTTCATTGTTTTTTATTCCACTTACTTTTTATCTCCTTGTTATTTCCTCATTTTTTCATTACACACAATAAAATGTCAAGTGAAAACAAATCCCTTATTTTAACTCTATGAAATTGTGCTAACTAGCAAAGTGAAGATGTTAACTCAGTTGTATGTAGAATGTACACAATCAGTTGTCCCCTGAATCTGTTCTGCCAAAATGGGGGTTAGAAAGTATAATAAAGTGATAATGGAAATTGATATGGTCAATTTTAGTCCAAAATTTTTCAAGCAAACACATCTTATGTGGGACTTAACATTTACATTTATACTAGCACCACAAAGTTTAGATTCTGAGTTCTGGAATGTTCTTCAAATAGTATTGAGCTTTGAGAAGACATGTAAGAATGTTAGTGTGTTCAGTTCCAGGGTGTAGTAGAGTCCTTACTAGAGAACAAAGGATTCTGTGTGCCATAGCCAGATACACCACATTCCAGAATGGAAATAGCCACACAAGAAACTGCCTCAGAACAAGCCAGAACTGCCATATTTTTAGTGTTATAAAAGTTCAAGCAATTGAAAGATTAGGAATTGTTCTTGTATTATGGGTCTAACATACTAGTGACATGCACTTTCACAACTGAGTTTTTTGGATTTGACTTTAGTTCTTTTTGTTAACAAGGATGTTTTTAGGGGAGATTACCTCTTGAACAAGTGTGCCTGATAATTAGAGGGTTTGGATAAGCTTGCCCATAACATTGCCAGCTGCTTATGTGAAATAGCTGCTTCCTTTATCCACTGTTTTAAAGTAGCCTGCTCTGCAACGTTTCTAAAATTCTTGTTAGTATACCTTTTTTCATCTCAAAAAACCTCCTGTGTATATTGAAAAGAGGGAGCAACTTAATGTATTAAACTGAGCATGTTGACCACCAGTGTTTTCATAGAAAAAGCTATCCATTCAGTTAATTCTTTTATTTCCCCATGTTTATTCTAACTTCATGACAGCTATAAAAGCCAGAGGCTGTTTATTTATAAAGCCAAAGTAGATGATATTTTAGGTCCTGCCACCCGTCACTCCAACTAGGAAAGTTCACTGTTAAAACAAAGGTGTTATTTTTAGGAAGAGGTCATGCTTCTCCCTAAAATATTTGACAGCGAATATCTATAGAGACGCCTCTAATCTTGTAGTTAAAAGTATGTGAAAACCTAACTAGCAATATAAAACAGATACTGAGTCCCAGTGATTCACACTGAGTTCTGAAAGTGCAAAGGAAATCACCATAGCCTTGGCAGTGTTGGGGGGTGAGGGGAAACTTTGGAAGTTATTTTGAGAGATGAAGGAAAGCTAAAGGCAGTTCTTTATCTTTGGCTGTCTCTGAGTCATAGTGTATTTTGATAAGGATTAGTGTTACCTCATGTTTTTTTTCTTTTCTTTGCAGCCTGAAGAGTTGAGAGAAATCATTGAGAAGACTAGAGAGATGGAACAAAATAATGGCCACTACTTTGACACTGCAATAGTGAATTCAGATCTTGATAAAGCCTATCAGGAATTGCTTAGGTTAATTAACAAACTTGATACTGAACCTCAGTGGGTGCCATCCACTTGGTTGAGATGAAGGAAACATCCGTTCTGTGGTATGAGTGAAGTTGATCTGGCAGATTGCCAGTAGAAAGATAGCCCTGATATTCAGCAGCTCTGAGGATACCATGGCATGCAGTATAAGCTGAAGACCTGTTCCTAGATCTTAAGCTAGTGAGAAGTCCCCTTAGGCAATTTGTGCACAGCAGTCTTTATTCTCTGTACATGGCTTAGAGGTTCTTGCCTTATTTGGGGATTCTAAATGGACACTTTGAACATGGAAGTTCCATTATATCCATGCAAAACCTTTTTTAATTCACTTAACTTTTTTCTAAGTAATATTTTCAAGAAAAAACGTGTATAACAGTCCATGTCTCAGAGTAATAAATACTGGTGTTATTTTAATAGTAAATTTAATGACTTCAAGGGAATGGGGGTACTGTGTTTCTGTGTACTAGGCAAGACAATACGTAAAGAGACTGGTTTAATCATCAGAAACACTATTCTGAAGGAAAAAAAAAAAGACAAAACGGTGCCATTTAGGTCTGGAGTCACTTTGTTAGGTGGCATTTGTATGTATCTAATTTTTTAAAAAACATTCCGCTAGGATGCACCATTTTTTTTTTTTTAGCTCAGAGTTTGTAGATCAAACTTCACTGCACATTTAGCAGTCTCTGATCTAGTGAAACACATACAACATGTAGCTCATTTTCTTAAAGATGATTTTCTGAAATTTTTTCTTAAATTGTCACAACTAATTTGATAACCTCACTTCCTTTGCCTGATCTGCATAGTACAAAAAATTTTTATGAATGACATGGTCATACAGTGTTGACTATTTTAAAAACTTATGATGCAAATAGGTCTTTACATACATGAAGACATAGGCTATTTGACAGTTTTTGCATTTTTACATGAGCACAGTATAATTTGGCTGTGCTTATATAAGTAATAAACTGGGTTTCTGTGATGAATATAGCTGCTGTGATAATATTTAACAGATTTAATAGATCTTCATTGATTATACATTATACTTGTTCAGCATTGGAATAAAATTACATTCATCCTAGGAAATACCACAACAGTTGACTTTTAGATTAGAAGGAAAGGATGATTGGGGGCAAGTTGGTAATTTAGCACACGGAAACAGGTCTGTGTCCTAACAAGATATGCTCTGTGGCCGGAATGGAACAGCTTGCTAAATCATGTTTAAGCTAACAGGACTTTCATACTGTGTCTTTAGCTATAGCTTTAAAGTTCAATTTCTGTAAATGGCATGGAAAGTTGTAGTCTTTTCATGCCTCTAGAGATGGTGTGATGTGTGACAAACAACCTTAAATGTGAATGTCTTGATTTTATTTTTAATGAAGATTTTAACTACAGCGTTCCTATTCCCATAGCTAAACACTGGAATAATAACTGAATTGTCACTTAATTTAACATAGCAATGGTTTATAATAAGTAGTGTATCTAAATGTCATATTTGATATTTTTTCTCTCTTCTACATAATTTTATTTTAACATATGTTATATGTTGCCTTTTTCTGTCCAAGTTCATATGGCCTTGAAGTTGACTGGAGTATATGTCTTACATGGGAATACTTTCAAGATAGTGATTCCTTAGGAGGAATAACATTTCTGAGTGAAGGAGAAGAATGCCATACATATGGTCTGATACACTCCAGTTTATGGCAGGAAAATGAAGGCCAAGGAATACAAGCACTTAATCTTTCCAATTTTCCAGATTACTTTCTCCTCAGGAATGAAAGGTAGTCTGTGGAACACAACAGACTTTTGTGACCTGCTCATAATAACTAACACCTATTTTGAAAGCTAAGATCTAAAATGTTGGCAGCGTAAGTTAGACGGAGATTTCAGGTAGTCAGTTTATGGCTTTTGCCAGTCTGAGTCAGCCACACTGCAGCAGCATGCTGGCAAGATACATGCAGTTTGTAACAAGCAGATCTCCTCTACCAGTCACATGCCATGCCATAGTGTACTTTCATGAATTCTAAGGTGACAACAGATAGTTTAGGATTTTTTGAAGTCCTTTAGTTCTCCCCGTCTTTGTAAGAATAGTAAAGGGATAGAAATACTTTTGTCCCAGACTCTTCTCAGTCCTCATGAAATGGGTGTGCTGATATTCAACACAGTCCCTAAGCAAAGTGAAACTGAGTTGTTGCTGACTTCCTTCGAAGAAAAGAGGGAAAAGCCTTGCTGTATCTCCAGCTGCTCTTGTCAGTTTCATTTCCTGTCCCTCACTGGTTCTGAGACCACGTGTTAAGGTCTCATCCACTTTTAGAAATGATCCCAACAATCAATACAGATGAAAAGTCCAAGCAAGGAAATAGTTTCCTTTAATAAATTTTCTTAAGTCACAACAAACATAAAAGAGAATAGTATTTAGACTTATCCAGATTTGCTTTCTATGAAAATCTAATGTCTGGATTCTTCCCTCCCCCCCCACCTTTTTATAATGGCCTAAGAAATAAGTATTGATTTGAATGTAATTTTGTGAATGTGTATGGAAAATATAAACCAGGGATTTAGCCTTAATAAAAGGTAACCTTTCTGGCACCTATTGTTAATCCACTTTTGTATTCTCACCTGTATCTACACTCTTGTTATTTTCACTCTTGTTATTTTGAGAAGTCATAATGCACACTGTATCATAAAAATAAAAAGTAAAATTATATTTGAAATTTTAAAAATATTTGGCTGTGCTTATGTCCCTTGCCATATAATGTTTTAACACACCTAATGACAATCCAGTATTCAAGTTTTTACCAGAAGCAAGTCCACTATAAATAACCTCAAAGTGGAGCCTTTTAAAATTTTGCTCTTCACAGTGTGGGGTGGAGGGTGTGCCCATTAGCAGAGATGCAGGTTCTGTTTCCTTAATTGTTAAAAACAAACCCCAAAAAACCCTATATTAAAGACAAACAAGGTTGTAAATTTGAAAGTAGTCTAGAGAAGGGATGTAATACTTGGGGCAATTAGGATTATATGCTGCCAAGGATTTGAGGACACTGACCATAGGATGTCACTTATTAACAAATGTGTAGTTCATTTCTCCATTCTTCATTCCTCCTTTTCCTTCTAAACCACTCTTCTCCCAAAAGAAAGGAAAAATCCAACAGTTTCACACATACTTGTTGCCCTAGTGCAGCTTTCTACTATCCTGATCTGTTCCTGTGGATCAGAGCACCTCAACCCCACACAGTAAATTGTCCACTATTTTCTCCTGTTTTCTTAACAATATGCTAAACTGTAAAATCATCTGCACTTCTGTAGGAAGCTTAGCCAAAGCCAATAAATACTAGCATTTTAAGAGACCACAGGACAGGGCCCTCCTTGGTGGCATAACAGGTTAAAACACAAAACTATGAAGCTAGCCACAGCTGCTTCACCAGGAGTTCGATACCCACCAGGGAGGTGACCCACATAGCCATAGACCTCTCCTGTTTTGCCCGTTGCTCCCCTCAGCGGTGTACTTAGTCAATCTGCTTGTTCTGATCCCCACTTTTTCTGGTGAATCCTCTCACTGCCCCTGTACCTCTGGCCTGTACCCCAGTTCTGTGTGCATACATAAAGTCTTTAAAAAAAAAAAAAAAGCCACAGGAGAAATGTAGGGTACTTTGGCTAAACACTTAAAGGTAAATATTGAATTTACCTAAATGAAAGCTCCTAATTTGGTTCTGTTTCTACCTTTAAGCCATTTTTGCTTCCTAGAAAGATGATACATACTGCGTAAGAACCAATGCTCTGAAATCAAGATACACTTAGTTCCACATACCAACTGTTCTCTCACCTGAAAAAAGCTGTTTCTTCATCTGCAAAATGGAGATAATATTTAACATCACCAGGGTACTGGGAAAGTTAAATGTTAAGCAGCTAAGTACTGTCTGCTTTCAAAAGACTAAAGAACTCAGTGTTGTTTTTCCAAACACTAATCTGAAACTTTATTTGGTGTACAACAAGAGTTCTTATAAATCAGCTCCTTGGGCCCTCCCTGGTGGCGCAGCGGGTTAAAGCACTGCACTAAGAAGCTTAAGCCTCTTTAGCATGGGTTTGATTCCCGCCTGCCCCGGAGGTGACCACATGGCGTGACAGACCTCTCCTGACCCGCCCGCTGCTCCCCTCAGCAGTGTACTTGTCAATCTGCCTGTTCTGCTCTCCACTCTGTCCCTGGTGAATCCTCTCACCCTCCACATCTCTGGCCTGTACCCCAGTTCTGTATGAATGAATAAATCTTAAAAAAAAAAATCAGCTCCTCAATTTACATCCTGTCTTAGCTTCAAATACAAGCAGTCTTAAATATAGGGGATACAGGCCCTCCCTGGTGGCGCAGCGGGTTAAAGCACTGCACTAAGAAGCTTAAGCCACTTCCACATGAGTTTGATTCCTGCCGTCCCCGGAGGCGACCACATGGCGAGGCAGACCTCTCCTGACCCGCCCGCTGCTCCCCTCAGCAGTCTATTTAGTGGATCTGCCTGTTCTGCTCCCCACTCTGTCTCTCACCGCCCCTGAGCCTCTGGCCTGTACCCCAGTTCTGTATGTACAAATAAATCTTTAAAAAATAAATATATATATATATAGGGGATACAGAAAGGATAGAAGTTAAAAGTGTAAAAATTCTGAAGGTAGACTGCCTGGATTTAAATTTCAGATGTACCTGTTTCTAGGTGTCTTACCTAGGATTTATTATTTAAATTCCTTGTGCGCTTAAAAATAATACATACCTCTTGTGATAACATAAAAAACTTAACACTACCCAGCACATAACTAAGATTTATTATAGTAGGTTAATGTTTGCAGTATTATTAAAAAAAAAACCTCAGTCACCTGATTTGGCCACTCAAAACGCCACATCTTACATGAAAGGTAGCAAATTATTACTGCTTATAAAATAGTGAAAAGTTCAATTGTGACTCTCAGTTCAGAATTTTAGTATTTTTTTCACAGATGAGATAAGGAAGTATTAATAAGCCCTCAACTCACTGACAGTCATATTTACTAGTACCCCAAAATTCATCTCAGTAAGCTTAATTAGTAAAACATTGATACATGAAAGGGGAACAACGGGAGAATACCCACCTCCTGCATGTCTGCAGAGAAAGCTGTTTCCAGGTGACACTACCATGTGCTGAGCATAAGAACATGATTGGAACTGTCCATTTTAAAGTTATTTTACTGTTTATACCATAGTTACATTTAAATTGGCAGAAGTGCTGCCATGACAGGACAGAGATCTGTCATGCAAGAAAAATAGGTTTTTATAAAGCTTGAGAAGTACCACAGTAACACAAGTGTCAAGACAGCCAGCCCCAAGGTCTAACGTGGGAAGGAACAAAGGGTACTCAGCAGGCTGCCCTGACACACTGCTGTTTCCTAATGGGTGCTTCCTAATGGTAAATGGATCGCTGGGAACAGACGTCAGTGCAGCAGGGTGACACTTCAGAGTGAGTGCAGACACTGCTATATGCTCTTGCGATGTTTCTACAAATCTCATCTGTGACACATGATTGCTGAAATATGTTTCCAAAAAGATAACCCCACGTGGACACCTTAGGCCAAAAAATAAATAGCCACACGTACCAAACCTACACACCACGAATGGAAATGGTGCCATGTTAGGGTTGCAGAAGGAACCAGAGCAAGAAAGATTATTCAAACAGAAGATCTTCATCCTTCTCTTCAGCCAGGAGATTAGCAGGCTCCAGCACCTCGCCGGCTGCTCTTCGTTGCTCCAAGTCCTTCTCAGATTTTTCCTTGAGAACCTTTTTCTTCTCCTGTATTTTCTTTAACCTGTAAAACGGAATTTTCTGAATGTTGCTTGAGTGCCAAGTAGGTTTGCTTTCTTCTAGTTTTGCAAAGAGAAACATCTACATTCTGAAACAAAATTTCACCCTTTAAAAATCTCAGTATTTATAAGCCATTTAATAAAAAAGATAGGATGAATACATAATTTAGTAGCTGATTTCAAAAGTTCCTAATCTGATGGCATAAATTTTGAAATTCATTTCCTGAGCATTCAGTTATAAAAATAATCTTTCAATATGGACCACCACCAAATGGTAGCAGACAAAAACTCTGATGGTGAGATCACACATCATACTACACTCAGCTATCTCAGGGTCTGAGGTGGCCCTGTTGTCCCTGAATACGTGTGTCCTCACCTGTTTTTGTAACCTCATATACTACCTAAATAGTACTTACTGTCCCTACTAGCTTCAAATGTCACAACCTATTTATGCACCTATGTAACGTCTCTCCAAGTACTATGTAAATTCTCTAATGGTAAGATTTAGATTTTTACATAATGCCCCCCAGTACATTATACTTACTCCTGGAACATACTCAACATGTAATACACATTTGTTGATTGGCTCATTAATTGCAGTTCCTTTTTATGTGGGAGGCAGACACTTAAATCGCTTTACTTTAAAGACTCATCTAGTCAATTAGTAGCATCTCTGAGGAAGACAGGTCTATGTAAAATTTGACAGATTTTTCTCTACCCTGTGGCAGTATTATTTCTTGCTTCTTACTAGGATAAAATCAGGTCTTGCTACTCAAGAACATAGGTCAACAACTCTCAGCAAATTGAGCCTTTATAATATGGAAAACAAAAATGATTAGTAACTGCCAATTCCAACAAACCTGTAGAACTCTTCTCGTTCTCTCTCATCCAGCTCCGTGATGATGTAAGCAAGGGTACGTTCAATCCGGGGAATGATAACTAGGGTTCAAATATATGCATGAATGTAAAAAACATGAACACATCTAATCTCATTTCAAATTACCAGTGTTCATTTATATAAGTTACCTATTTTTTCTATCGTTAATGTACAATTAATACAGAAAACAGGGCACTATGGGTTAAGGTGCAGCATTATGAAGTTAGCTGCAGCCACTTCAGCACAAATTCATTTCCTAACCAGGGAGCTGACCCACATGGCTCAGCCTCTCCTGACCCTCACGCTGCTCCCCTCCACAGTATACTTTGTCAACCTGCCTGTTCTGCTCCCCACTTTGTCCCTGGTGAGCCTCTCACCACCCCTGCACCTCTGGCCTGTACCCTAGTTCTGTATGCATAAATAAAATCTTTAAAAAAAACAAAGTAGAAAATCAAGCTGAGAGGATTTAAAAGATGTTTTGTGTCATAGTATTGTCTGTTCTGCTTCTAGAACATGAATTCCTTGGGAACTGGAACTGTTACTATATTCATTTTGTTTTGCTGGCAATTCCATGGATGAGGTGTAACATTAGCAAGCAAAAAAAGAAATGCGTTTTGAGTTTTTTAGAAAATGATAATTTCCTAAAACTGAGGCCAAGTAAAAAAAAGTCTTTGCTATTCAATTGTTGCTTTCCTACCATAAAATTGAATGTTTCTTTCATGAAAGATTCTTGAGCAGCAAATAATAATATCAACAAATATGCTTAATTTTTAAATGATGAAGTAAGTAAGAGACAGGAAATAAATGCACTCATTGGAAAGATTTCCACCCTTCGTTCACAAATCACCAAAGTTAGTAAATTAACATTCCATAATTTCTCTCACCACTCCTCTGTAACTCCCCCAGACGCATCTCTGGAAGCGTCTAGTACACTGGAATAGGACTCCTGCCCTTCCTTCTGTGAACAGGGACGGTGTCTTAGTAGCCTAGAGTCAGGGAGAAGATGAAGCAAGAGCCTCACTGCAGCTTAAACTCACCGTGTTCAATGGCATTTACACGCCTGTTGGTAATCTTGATAGCTTCATCCAAAGTAACAAAGGATGTCTAAGAGAAGAGGACAAATTACTAATGTAAGCACAAAGTGATCCTCACTGTGCCCTGTTCATTTCCCTCCACACAGCACTTTGTAGAGAACATTTAAAAACCAAGACTACTTTCAACATGCTCACAAGGAAAAATGCTGGTAAGATTTTCACAGAGCCAGTACTACTTCTACACTATCAGAACTTGTATTCTGCAGCCTCACCTGAAGTGAGAATCTCTCATCAGGAGAGAATCATACACTACTGGGCACAAAGTGGGAAAAATGCTTTGATGCACAGGCCATGTTACATTTATATTTTACTCATGTAAGAACCATTGCTGTTTTCACCTAGCAAATGGTGAGAAAATACTAAACCACTGCAAATATTTTGTTAGTAATAAAAAGTAGGGACAATGATACAGAAACCACCATTTGAGAAATCAAAGTATCTTTGGCTTGCTCCACAAGGTATGGAACAGTTACAAAGAGCAGAACACTCGACTCATATCTGAATCTCCCCACTCAGTGATTAGAAATTAAGCCACAGAGGTGAGCACTTAGCTACTGACCTGCAGTGAGGCTAGTTCCACCAGTAGTTCCACTGCTTTGGCATAATTCCTCTTTAATTTAGCCAACTGCTCCCCACCTCTGGCTAACCCAGTCAGTTCATAACCTGAAAGAACAAGTCAGACAACATTTGTCACTAGAAAGGAAATGATCATAATAATCCCCAAAAGATGGCAAGTTAGAATGGCAAACATGGACTGACAAATTCATTAGCCCTTGTTACATGCAAACAGCGCCCATCCCATGCCTGATGTAGGGCAAGCTGCTGAGAAAATTCTACATAAGGATGCTATTCTAAAAGCTTTTGACTCCATTTCACCAGCTTGCTGGATTCTCCAATGCACCCCAGTGCCTTTGTACATCATATTGTGTGATGCCCACAGTAGTGACCCTCGTTAGCAGTGACTCTATAATGCTTAACTTCTTTACTCAAATGGCACTGAATATTCTACGTGAACCAACAGGTACAAAGAGAGAACACTGATACTTATTTTTAAAATTGTTCAATTCTGAATCCTAGCTCAACTAGAAGGAAAAGATGGCATCAGAGGTTTCCTGCTTCACTCCTGGGTTGCACTGACCCAGGGCAATCCTGACTAGGGACGAGATAAGAATACCTCTTGAACATCTGAGGCAAACACTATTCCAGAAGGGAAACCAAGGAAATTCAACTTCATTCAACCCCTTCACAAGGGGTTGGAGAGTGACCTTAAAGAGACTGCACCAGGGGTAGGGAGTTGCTGAGCAAACCTCAGCCACAGAGCTGTAGGCCGTGTTAGACGCAGCCCAGGGAGGTGAAAACCAAGGAGCACGGAGGCGCACCCCTGACTGAGGGAGACACAAGCGTTATGTATAACCCACAAGCTATGTAAAAGACTAAGAGATTTGACCAAATACAAATTAAGATACCACTTGCTTTTAAAAGGCAAGCAAGAGACTTGAAGGTATTTTTAGTATTTTACCCACCAACGAGAATATATACATTAAGTTGTAGAAAATGAACAACTGTTCATCATTTATTGTCAGGGCAATGCAAATCAAAACCACAGGAAGATACCAACTCATACCAGTGAATTCTGTCTGACTACACAGTAGAGGGTTTCTACTGCTGCAATCACTGAACTCTAAAGTCTAGTAAGCACCACTTTCCAGAAGTAGGTTCATTTAAAGGAAAACCAGATCTCAGAGCTACACATGAACACAAAAGCTGCGTACTTACTGTCTGTGCCCTCGTGGTAGTGCTCAAACACGGGGAGAGTGACACCTGTGAAGAAGAAGCAGACACAGACACAGCTTCGTAAGCGTCCTCAGGGCACTGCCTTCTCAGCACTACTTCCCTGGGTTTCCTTTTCAGTAAGTACTCAAAGGGCAAGAGACGGTCTGGAATGATAACTGACTTAAATAACTTTAGGAACTTGCTTTCAGTGTTGATTCCTATTCAAAAGTTCTAGCATCCTAAATAATAAAGAAATGGTTGTTAACAACTTTCCTTTCATTCTTTAGTGAAGCATACTTAATATACAAAAACTGCACATATTTAACCATCTACATTGTGATGCATTTACACACATGCATTATACTATACCAACACCACAATCAAGATAATAACATCACCTGCAAAAGATTTCTTGTATCTGCTTTCCTGTATCTGTATGTGTGTTAAGAACTACCCCTTAACAAGTTTTTTAAGTACAACAGTGGCCTACTTACCTGTAGGCATAATATTGTACAGCAGCTCTCCAGAGCTCATTCATACTGTATTGCTAACTCACATGCACTGAACCCCATGACCTGCCCACCAAGTTACAAATTTTAACATGTAAAGCCAATCAACCTATCCTAAGTAGAAAAGAGAAATTAGTACATTAAGCTTGCTGTCTAAACAGGTTAATTTAAAGATGAATTCTTTTCTGCTACAAGTCCAAAGAGTTTTAAAGGTTACCTGCTACATTATCCTTCTTTGCTCGTATCTTCACCTGGGCTTTATTTACATTTTGGATAACTGTGGTGCTGCAGGAACAGAAAAGAGCTTATTTAGATTAGACTTTGGAATGAGAAAACTCCAGGAATCCTGCTGGATCAGTTCAACAGAGTGAGATAACACAATGAAGCATGTTTTGATGAGTATCTTTTCCCAGAAAAGACGACGCATCACTCGCTGCTGCCTAAAGAGGGCCTCAGAGAGCAAAGTATTAGCCATAAGAAAAAGAATGACTTAAGCACACAGGCTGTCTTGCACGTGTATGACTCTAGGGATTTTTATTCTGCTAATGTAATTTGATGGAAAAACTCCCTCAAAGTTTGCTGTCCAACTGTCGAAGCAATTGTGCAATTCTTTATGCTATCTAATTTCCAAATAGCTTTGTCTGAGTAATCCATTACCATCAAGAAAAAAGTGTTTTCACCCTAACTGCCCAAAACACTCTCACCACTTACATACTACTGACTGACTCCCCATCCTCCTCTGCTGAGAAAGTCAGGAAAATTACTAGCCTACCAATAGTGGCAAAAATTAAAGTTTACTACTTCAGAGTACCTTCATGCCCCTGAAGCTGTAACATCTTTCCACTTAGTAATGCTAATACATGAAACAAAGGCAACTGCGTACCCCTGTTGACAACAGGAATACTGTGCTGCAACGGTGAAACCAGATTTATTGTGATAATCATTCTACAGTGTATTACAATACTAGCCACTATGAACACACTCCTGAAACTAATGCTATATGCCAGTTATAGGTACAACATTATAACTTTTAATCAAAAATTAAAAAGAAAAAAAAAAAGAATGGAAGGATTATGTCATTGGGTAGAATATGAAAACAACTTGCTTCTACCCCGGCCACTAAACAGCTATGTAACTTCAGGAAACCTATGAACCTAAGCTGAAAATAACAAAGATTGCTGAGCTTATTTGGAAAATCACAGGACATATGTAAAATGGCAAACCCCCTTTTAAAGCAGTAACAAAACCTTACTGTATGCTTTATAAAACATATATTTATGATGATGAAAAGTCCTAAAATTTGTGCCTTGTGCACAACTAGTTCCATTCTCAAATAGCTATGTTAAGGAGATAATAGAAACAAAAATATATACACATGAAAATGTCATGACATCTTCAATACTCCAAAATCTGAAAATCAACCCCACAACTAGCCATGAAGACAAAACGCTAATGAAGTTGGTATATATAGAAAAAAGTTATACAGCCATATGAATAAAAGAACAATGTTTATGATACAAGTTAAATAAAAGGAGACTATAAAATAATGTATCTCCTGTGCCTACAACTATGTAGCAGATACACATGATGGTAATAAAGGCAGCAGGAGTGTTAGGTGAAAGGGTTAAAAGTATTCTTTCTTATGAATTCTCCTACACTGCTGATGGGAATGCAAACTAGTACAACCACTGTGGAAAACTGTTTGGAAGTTTCTCAAACTGCTAAACATGGAGCTTCCCTATGACGCAGCAATCCCACTCCTCGGTATCTACCCAAAAGACGCAAAAACATTTATTCAAAAAGACACCTACACCCCCATGTTTATTGCTGCTTTATTTGCAATAGGAAAGACATGGAATCAACCCAAATGCCCAACAGTAGATGACTGGATTAAAACGGTGTGGTACATATGCACAATAGAATATTACTCAGCAACCAAAAAAGATAAAAACATGCCTTTCAACAACATGGATGGAGCTGGGAGGGATCATTCTTAGTGAAATTAGCCAGAAAGAAAAGGAAAAATACCAGATGGTTTCACTCATTGCAGGATCATAAAGGACCAGGGGAAAAATAATGATGATGATGAACAAATAATATACCAGAGACATTTTACGGGGGTGGAGTGGAGCGTGAGATCAAAAATGGGGGCGGGAGAAAGTACTCTGGACTATGGTGATGGCTCACACGTGATTTGGTGATGGGAAGCCCACAGGGATTACAACTGAGATGGAAAAAGGCACAAAATTATGTAAAAATAAACTATTCTATTATTTAAAAAAGTATTCTTCCTTATTATTACATCATTTGCCTTTAATGCTTATATATTTTTAATTAAAATCTGACTTTAAATTAAATTGTGAACATGAAAGCACTTTCTTTACTTTTTTAAAACCCGACTTAGACTTCTTACCTAAAGTCCCCTGCTGTGAACTTGGCCTCAGCCAGTGAAAAAGCTGCTTCTCTCATCACTTCACCCATCAACATTTTAGTCTGGAAAAGCATAAACCAACAGCAGATTCAATCAGGATTTTTACAAGAAAAACCCATAACATAATTATGTTCCTTTAATAATTAGAAGTATTTGATGTCAGGTGTGCATGTAAATATTTTTTGATAGTAATAAAACAAAATAAAAATTTCCAATTTTGCTTGAACAACTTTGGTTATGGTCACTAACAATGATGCAAAACTGTGAGACTATGAGTCTTAGAATCAAAGCACAGTAAGAAATAGAAAAAAATTAATCTGTACTGAAAAACTTGTCTTATTCTTGAATGGTTTCATGAAACTTGCTCAAATGTCTTCAATTCAATGCAGCGCGGTCAAAATCCTAAAGCACAGTGATTCAAAAAATACATCTAAAATATTTAATGTTTAATTGAAAATTTAGCTATCCAAGCACTTTCTTTAAATGTTTTTTGTTGTTGTCGTTTTAAAAGATTTATTTATTTATGCATACAGAACTGGGACACAGCCCAGAGGTGCAGGGGCAGGGAGAAGACCCACCAGAGACAGAGTGGGGGGAAGAACAGGCAGATCTACTGAAACACACTGGGAAGGAAGCAGCAGGTGAGACAAGAGAGGTCTGCTGTGCCATATGGGTCACGGTCACCTCCCTACTGGGAATCGAACAGGCACTGAAGCAACTGTGGCTGGCTAGCGTCATAGTGCTTTAACCTACTGAGCCACCAGGGAGGGCCCAATTTTTTTTTTTAAGAAAAGAAAAGTAGGGACAACTCTAGGGTAGGAATTATCTTACCAAATATTGAAAATGAAAATGTGCGGCTTATAATAAGGAAATATATCTGGTACTGGAACAAATGAATGAATAAAGTGGATTATAGAGATCTGAAACAACCTCAAGGGTACATGAGATAGTAGTAGAGACCATTTACAAAATGATAAAGCTAAATTCCTACCCTCTCTACCCTTATCCCTTACATCACACCCAAGAGAAGACCAAGCAAAGCAAAATTCATAAATATTAAAGATAGAGGGCTAAAAAATAACAACAGAAAATATAGACTATTTTCCTAATTTTTTTAGGCCTTTCTAAAGTAATGCATTATGTACATAGTGCACAAGCTACATAAAAGAAAAGACAAACAGATTAGACAAACTGATTTGACCAAAAAAGAATTAAGATATAATTGTTTTAAGTTAAAAAATAAGCAAAAGACTTCGAGAAAACATTTTTAGCATTTTACCCACCAACTAGAATGAAGATACATAGAACTTCTAGAAAAATATGAGATATTCACCAAAAAAGACAAATTACAAATAAACATGAAAAGATGCTCAACCTCATTAAGTTATCTAAAGTAGTACAAGTTAAAATAAGAGTTTAACCCAATGGATTAGTAACAAACACAAAAAATGATTAGCATCAGTTTTTTAAATAGGTTCTCTCTCATCATTTGTTAAGAACGCAAGTTAATGTATCAAGTGAAGGGCAATTCGGCCTTCACTAAAAAATTTTTAGTTATGTAAAATGACTATATCCTCAAAGTTCTAAGATCCTTTTTCCAAAGAAATGCTAGCATCATAAACATAAGGATTTAAAAGTCCAACTCTCCCCAAACAGTAAAACTAAATATTTTTCAATAGAAAAATGATTAAATGCCACTATGCATGCCATGAAGTACCACGCAGTTATTACAAAGAATGAGACAGATTTGAATGTGCTGAGGAAGAGAGATGTCCGCACAGCCAACAAGTGAGGGGAGCGGAGAAAGAGGCAGGAAATGCTGCATCTAAAAGCAAATGTATATACACATACTTATAAATCTTGAGACAAATATATCAATATATTGACATATTAATATATGAATACACACATTTCATATAATATGTACAAAATAACTACACTTGCCAAAAAGTAAAGATGAAAAGACTAAAGGCTATACACTGAAGTGTCAAGGACAAGCCCTTTGAAAAGTGAGAGGATGACTGGAGGAGGGGAGAGCAAGCTATGAAAAAGAATTTTTGCTTTTTTTTTTGATATACTAATTTATTCTCACATTATTTATCCAAAAAGCATTCAATTAAAACCTATTCCATCCAGCAGTGTCCTGGGCATCAGAAATATAGTGCTACAATGGCAAAGTTCCAGCTCCCAAGGAACTCGAATTCCCTAGCAGGGAAATACAGACAAAAAAAAATACAGCAGTATGTGCTATGATAAAATTAGACCATGACCAAAGTAAATATGGTGTTCACTTCAGATAGTTGATGGGGAGTGACCAATCTAAAGACACCAGCGGGCCAAAGGGGCCAGTCGTAAGGTATTCTGAGAAAGAGCATTTCAGGCCGAAGAAACACCTAATATAAAGGCCCTTTGGCTCCCAGTGAGGTCAGGGCAGCAGGAGGGGTCAGAGCAGACCAGCAGCCAAGGCTTTGGGGAAAGGGAGGGGGCTGGGACTAAATGAACTATCTGAAACTTGTTCAACTTCAATGGCACTTTACCTTTGAAAAAATGAAATTTAATTCAAAGAATTAAAATATCATGGGTCATGATAGATTTTCCTTAGGTAATTCTAAAATAAACACTGTTTGAAGCCAAGCTCCTTTTACCTCTATTATCTTCTTTAGAATTTGTCGAAATCGAAGAGTTAAAGCATCAGATTTTTTCTTCAGGAGGTTTCGACCTGTCTGTGCTCCTTTCAGTCTAGCCTTCATGATGGTCTGGGCCCTACATAAAGGAAAAGTAAAGACATTATTCTCATTACTTAAAGGAAATAAAAATAACTCTCTAAAGTATTAAAATGATGCTTTATCCATTGAGTTAACAATAAAATATGTAACATTTTTAGTTGACAGGTTAAATTGATTTCTCAATACTACAGATTTCCAGCCTCTGTGTTCCACAAATGAAATATTTATTTACAACAATTCTTTAACCAACATCTGGAGTATTATTAAACCACAATAAAATTACCAGGAACCCTATTTTATGATGTCAGCATAATTTAAATGCTTATATGATTTGTAGGTTAAAATATCACCTGTGTCTTCAGTTTCCAATAGTAGAGTGGCACTAAAAATTAAAAAACCAGCCCTCCCTGGTGGTGCAGCGGGTTAAAGCACAGCACTAAGAAGCTTAAGCCACTTCTGCATGAGTTCGATTCCCACCTGCCCGGAGGAGATCCACATGGTGTGGCAGACCTCTCCTGACCCGCCCGCTGCTCCCCTCAGCAGTGTACTTTGTCGATCTGCCTGTTCTGCTCCCCGCTCTGTGTCTGATGAATCCTCTCACCCTCCACACCTCTGGCCTGTACCCCAGTTCTGTATGAATAAATAAAATCTTTAAAAAAAATTAAAAAACAAAACTGTCTACTAACATGTCAAAATTTGAAGCGAACCAACACTTCTGCTTTGGGGAATCTGAAGAATTTATCCTACGGATTTACTCCCACTGTAACAGGGTGGTCCCTAGGAAAAAGGGAAGTTCCAGGTTCCCTGCCCCACCCAGAAGGAGGGCGGAGCTGAGCAGAGAAAAAGGAGAGAAGAAGAGAATGAAGCAGGGTGAAGAAGGAGGAGACCTGAGGAAACCACATGGAGCAGCAAGCATGTGATGAAGACACGTGCTTGTTTCCTGACCCTGGACTGGCTAAGGCAGATGTGGGTGAGATACCTGTAGGGAGGTGACTATGGCAGTGTTTATATTGATTTTGATTTTGCTCTTTTGCCCCCAGATTTGTCTGGCCATTTCTGACCCTTTTCCATGGGTCCCGGCCAGAAGGTGCTTTAGTGGCGGGCTTTCAGGCCTTGCTTTGGACCAACCCCTTTTGGGTTGACTTTTGCCCACGAGGGGATGGGTAACTTCAGGTGTTTGATTTAGAAATTATATTCTTTGTGTTCCGTATTGTATATTTACTGTATTAAAGTCCCTTTTCATTAAAGTTTTACATGTTCTGTCTTGTTGCGGCGGATGACAGAACCCACTTAGAGCAGGCAGTTTTTGGGGCTTCAGGGGTGTCCCTCTCCCCCTGTCCTCTTAACAGATTTGGGGTGCCCTATAACACCACAAGTGTAAAAAAAAAAATGTGCAAGGTTCAGGATGAGATACTAGCCTGATTTGTGAGAGCAAAATGGCAGAAAACAAATGTTCTATAAATCATGCCTCATGGTACAACAGCCAAGAGGATGGCCGTCCACAGGTGCTCTCTCCGAGGGACACAGTCTTACTATGCCAAGTAGGGGCAGGTAGGGCTGTAGAGACCCAGCGAGTAATTCTAGAGCGGACCCACAGAAAGTGTCAGCTGTTCCTTTGGGAAAGGGGGCTAACTGAAAAGAATGGATTTACTTTTTACTACTAGATTTCTTTGTATCTTTTGGATTTTATGACACAATTTTTTTTTCTGTTAAGTGTGGCATTAAAGTGTTTTGACATCATTCGTCAAAACCCTAATTCCACTCACTAATTTGCAAATAATGCTGGATAACAAGTAAAATAAACATACTCCTAAAATAAAGCAAGCTACTAAAGGCTCCTCACCCCCTTATTTCAATCTCAGTCCATCAGAAATGCAATTATCAAAGTCAAGAAAGCAGTAGCAGAAAGTATTTCTGTTCTTGCTGCCATGTGCCAACTATACAACACAGATACTTAGTAATTTGTTCATCCATGTAATTTCAAGAGATTGATGTTATAGCCAACCGCAAACACCATATATTAGTCTTCTTAAATTCCTAGACTCTGAAATCTTTTACCATAAGGCTAAGGTTACTGAGACAATTTCATTGCTGGGACTTTAGATATTATCTTAAATGGGAAACAAGGTTCAGAAGAGTGAAACAACTTCCCCATGGTTACATGAGAGAGCAGGCAGGCCAGGACCTGAACTAGATTTTTGACTCCTGTGAGTTGTGCAACCTGGACCCACTATACTCCCAAAACAGGTCACACTGCTTCCCCCACAGATCGTAACTATATCAGATGAACAGAACTATTCAAATCTCTCTTTGGGAAAAAAAAAAAAAACACTTGATGGCACTGACCTCATAGGGAAGTGTAACCAAGTGGAGCCTGTCCTGTCTCCAGCCTGAACAGGCATCATCCACCCTATGTGTACACTTAACACACTGTAATGCTGACAGTAACCCCCGGAATTTGGACCTAACGCATTGGATCAAATTTCAGTCAAAGTCTAGCATTGCAGATTCCGTAGAGTAAAAGATGAAATCAGTTCATAAAATTTGGTTTACCTTGGTAATTTCAATGTCCTCCTAGGTAATGACATCTATGGAAATTGATAAATGTCACTCATCTCTGGTGATTGAACAATAGGGAGTGACTTGCCCAAGGGCTTACAGCCAGGAGGTAGTTGAAACTGGATCTGACTGACTTCTGTTGACTCCAAATCCTCCTCTTTTGCTTCCACCCTAAACTTGCTCCCTCTGGTGCCTACGTGGGGGAAAGCCCATTTTCACAGAATAATGCTGTAAGGCAGAACTGTCTAAAACAGAAGTTGCCAGTGTGTTTTCTTTAAAAACTTGTCATTTTACAAGTTTCAGAGCCGCTCAGTCCTCCAAAGCTCTACTCTTCATCTAAATAATAGGGATGATGCCTATGTTTCCAGCTGAATCAAAGACATCTGACTACATGACAAAGGAACAGCTGCTATGCCTTGGGAAGAAATATTAGAGAAGCTGCTACTTCCTGCACCTGAGTTTTCTCTTAATCAGCAAGCTGAATGCTCTCAAAGTCAATTTCACCTTCACAAATCTATCGTTCTTATTTATGTTAAAAAAAAGTTTACTTTTGCCTTTCTATTGCTAATTAAAATCAAACCAAAAAAAAATTAACATTCTTACTGTCAAAGATAAATGCAGCCAGACACTAACAAATGTAACTGTCCTAACAAAGGAAGGTCAGAGGCATCCAACAGATGGTGTGTAGAACCATCAGTAAATTGTCAGGTGGAGGATAGAAACGAACAATAAATTCTAGTAGCCCTGTACTATACTTTCTCAGGCCGGCATTTTAACAGGCATTTCTCAGAGGACATCTTAGAAACAGCCTTAGTCTGTTAGAAGTCATGCCAGAGTTTGGTGGCCCCTCAGTGCAAAGGTTTGCAGAGTCCGCATCAGTTAAGTGCCAGTTCTGCAGTTCTCATTGTAATTTAGCCATCATCCTTTATTTCACAAGCATTGCCTTTCTCCTCAAATCACTCCCACCCCACCCTAGTAATAACTACTAGAAAGTTTAAAAAACAACAACAAAAACCTCTATTTCATTAAAAGATGTAGCCAGGGGAAATCTAGGTTTAGGATTTGATTATAATTCTCAGATTCAAAGTCTGTAAGAAATGATCAAGATACGGGAAGAAACAGTTCTAAAGAGATAGCACAATCAAAAGATCCCAATGTCACAATGAAAAAAATGGTTTTCTGCTCTTCACTGAAAAAAAAAAGGAAAAGAGCAAATAAAAACCACCTGTAATTTCCACAAGTTGTGAGCCAGAGTTGAGAAAATTTCAAAGTTTTCTTTAGAAGCTAGTCACATACCTAGGGCATTATGCTACTTTCCCTGACAAAGAATTCAGGCTAGAAGAGAAAGACACCCCAGACCTAAGCAGATTCCAAGCCATGGGTCAATCAACATTGTTTGCGGACCTTTTATGAATTAATAAACAAGACACTCATCCTGGAGAAAGCCCACAGTCCAACGAGGAGGGTATGTAAACAAATAACCATTTTGCAATTAACAGAAATTGAACAAAATACCACGGTGCTAAAGCAAAAGGACCTCAGAAACTGGTATGTTTCCATCACAGGTGACAGACACTTCATTGGATCTTGGAAAATAAGTACGGGGATCCTAGACTGCCCACCAAGCCAAGAAGATTCAATTCCACCCCAATATGGCTTAGAGGTCTCTTCTAATTTGCTACTTCCCCCGGCAGTAGACTTCCCTTCTCTGCGCATTTCGTTCGTCCGGCATCTCACTACAATGTGAGTGCGATGAAGACACGCCTGGCGATCGTTCATAGTTATATAAATCCAGTGGCAGGCCTTCTTAAAAGGTTTGTAGAATGAATGGTTCGATTAAAAAGTCAGCGGACACGCACAAAGGCTAGACACCCGAGAGCCTGTTCTTAGGGACTCAGATCGCTTTCTTCCAAACTGGCTCACTCAGAGGACCGTGAGGGGGCCGTCAAGGCGCCTCGCCTCGGGCTCACGAAGAGGCTGGAGAAAGCTTAGAATTGGCCCCGATAAAGGGAACTACGCTGCTGGCCCAGGGTATTGAGGGGACCGCAGTTCCAGGCAGACGTTGCTTTACAGGTGCTGCTGACACCATTCTTTTACTTACATTCGGGAGGGAAAGATCTCAATTCGGTCTTTGCCCGACATTCTGTCAGTGGTTGTTCGGCTTAGGTCCCCTGCACGGTAGTTGCGGTTGCAGCAAACCCCGGCACTTAGTCTTCCCCCACCAAGTCAGCTGGTGGGGTCACTTGACCAGCCTCGCGTTGCTAAGCGGCAGCTAGCGTAAGCACACTTTACTTCCGCTTCCGGTTGGCATGAGGCGGGGGAGGGGCGGGGAGGAAAGGAGGTAGGCGATGCCCGGATGTGGAGGCGCGCGCACCGGAGACCTGCACCTCTATTCTCGGTCGCCTCCTAGTCCCGCCTCCTCCAGTTCCCAGGCGACTGCGCTAAGTGCTGCGCGCGCAGAGCGAAAGGACAGAAGAGCATACGCCTTCTCTTCCTCTACTTTTCACCTTTGGTCACAGCGCCCCCTCATGGTGGACTGAAGCTTTGAGAGAAGATTCATTACTCATGGCCGAGGAATCAGATTCCCACCTCTTCTTCGCTTTGAGGTTACGTAGTAAAAAATTTAGGGCGGAAACGTACTTTTGGGATTCTCCTATGATCCATGTTCTTCCTATTTTCGGAGGACCTAGACTCTATGGTCAGTGACGAAGAGAGGCCCCTACTCTGTTGGCGCTTGCGTGATGCGAGGTGGTTCCGCATGCGCCGTGGGGTCTAACGAAGCGCACGCTGCAGAGGCTCGGCGGCTCTTGCGGGTGGATCACATCTGATCTCTTGGATTAAAGTGAGCGACGGAGGACCTTGGTGCGGGATCCACACACATACCTCAGGTGACTGGTCCCCTACCTCGCTTTCTCCCTGAACTCACCGTGGTTGCGTCCAGGGACATGGGTGGTCGAGAGAGGGTAGGCCCGGGGCAGACACCCCTCCCTTTCCCTTTTCTGCGCGGGAAGAGCCTGGACACCACCGTCGCCTTCTCCCGGCCGTGTGCTGGGCCTGCTCGCCGGTTCCGTGTCGGCCTTCCGGTGTTGGAGAGGTGTCATTGTACGAGGACTCTCGTGACGGAAAGTGGATCGAGTGTCCGTAATGCCGCTTCAGTATGCTTAAAGTCGGGATGCCGCGAGGTGGGGCGACGTCGGGAGAACGCCCTGACACCCCCCCAACCCCCCAGGACGCCGGGCTCTTGGTTTTTCAAGGCCTGAGAATCCGTCCTTCCCGTCCCAGCCAACACTGCCTCTCAGTGGAAAGCAGACGGAAACACTTCGAGGGACGGTGGGATGGGCCGCAGTGTTGAAAAAAGCTGGGTTGAAAAGGGTCCAAGAATAGTTTACTCATCTGATAATTGAAGTTGCACAACCGAAGCTCGTTTTAACTGACCGTTCGAGTTGTGCTGAATTCTGTAGACTGTCACTGATTGACATTACTGCTGAAGAGTTTATTGACTTTAGTATCGGTCTGCTGTGTTTCAGCACCCGTGAGACTAGAACTGTGAATTTGCACATCGTGGTCTTCTAGGTAAGCCTGGCAAAAAGCAGAAGGAAACTCGAGGGTTAAATACGTATTCAGCCCGACGTCCTTTTATTATCCCCCAAACTGAGAAACAGTGTATCTCAGTCTTATTTTTTGTCCTCCCGATTGAAATTGCCTTTCAGGGAGAAAAACTTGTAACTGTGTGTGTGTCATCTGTTTGGGAATTACATATGTAGAATTTAACCGCTTATTTTTAGTTCAGCTGATGACAAATGACAGTGATTCTCAAAAGGTTTTTAACAAAACAGTGATATTTGTAGAGCTTGGTGCTTCTTGTTTCAATTACAGGGAAATAGTTTTAAAGCTTTATTTGTGTGCACTTCAGTGCTAAAAACTAGCATTGTTAGAGCATAGCCAGTTAAGCATTATAGCTGAGTTAGAATTAGCATCAGTTATCTCTATCACGCGGAAGAAATGTAGACTTCCTATATACATAGGTGATGACTATATTCTCAGTTAGTAGGGAGCCTTGCCAACCATTTAGCCAGGCAAAACTGGTGATGGTATAGGGTATTTTAAATTCTCTGGGAGTTCAGGTAATATGTTTTGAAAGATGGATATTCTTTACCAGTGAATACATGCTGTATTCTGTACATGTACTCTGACGACTCAGGCTCTGTCAACTAATAACACTGGATTTAACATCAGGGACTTGGTTTTAGCTCCAATTCTAGAATGTGTGAAGCATTTGTCCTTGAGGAAATCATTTAACATTTCTGTTCCTTGGTTTCCTGTTGTTTGCTTCATTGTACTCCTTTCACTGTACCTTATATTGCAATTATTATTTCCTAGTTTGTTTCCCATTCTGAAATTTGTTAGGTAAAATTCTTGTTTATCAGTAGTGCTTAGTCAGTAATGCTTAGTACTTGCAATGATAGCATTTTAATTAATTATATTACAAAACGGGAATATTGCCACCTTAACCTTTTCATACATCTGATACTTGTATAGCACATTACACTTTCCACCTATTTTCACATATATCTTATCTCACTTGATATTTCACAAACCTGTGGTTTAGGTGGCTCAGACTAGAAACTATAGTTCCATGGGAATACCTTTGTTACACAGCAACAGATTAGTTGAATAGAACAGAGACAAGCCCAACTTTTGAGCTATTCCCAAAGTTGTGCTACTTGCCTAACTTGAGAACTTAGGGTCAAATAACTTTTTTAGCACTCAAGTTTTAATGCTTTACACATGGGATATCTTACAACAGTTAAAAGGGAGGGGAAAAAGCCCTTTTTAAAAATGAAACAACCACCTGAGCTGTTTCTTGGTGGGTAGTTCTAGCCATTGACTATCTACTTCCCTTTATTTGCTTAATCCTCATGTTGTCAAACTATGAAAGAATGTCATTATTAGTAATGTTGCTTCTATGTTTTTGTTAAATAAGATGAGCGTTTACACTAATCTGTAACACTGCAGTAGTCTGCAGTGCACTAATCGTTTGCAGCACTGACAATATATACTAATATGTCTTTTGTTTAAGATGTTTCTATTTGTGATGTATTTACCAGTAATATGAGAGGAAATGAAGCTTGATGGACAAAAATACAGACTGTGGGTCCAAACATCAGAGGTTCAGATTGGACTCTTAACGTGTCATAGCAGTATATGACAGAACAGTCGTTTGTTCAAGCGCTAGGTGAGAGGGAGTGGCCAGGTCATATGGGACCACAAAAGTGTATATATCAGTGGGAAACCACTGGAAAGATATGTATGTGGGGGTGCGGACAATCTGCCACAGACTCTGATGTTCTGAGTGGGATGTGATGTTCTCTCTCGCAGACCAAGTAATGGCAGTTTTACTTCCAGTTAATAAGGAAAAGATCAGCCATTTCATGTGTTATCACAAATGTTTTCGTAGGCCATTAGCTTTTACTGTCTGTCTGAAATTTACACTAGTAAATTAGTTAAGGTTATGAAAATCATCAACTATGATTTAGTTTGAAAACTTCCTTTTAAAAATATACTTCTTATGGTCTGATTTAGGCTTGTGGGTCATAAAAGGAGTGATGCTGGAAGTAGATTGGGTGGATCAAAGGGAACAGGTTAGCTTGGAGGTCAAAAGAGACAAACTGCAAAGCAATTGGAGATCTGTAAAGCTGTTCTGGATTGGGCCAACCCATTCAACAAAAAAGACTAGGAGTAATGAATAAAACTAGAAATTGTGGTAATATGAATTAACTTTAAAGAGTAAAAAAGTGGAGAGAGTACATTTTGGTTTTTGTAATTGAGCTTTGTCTTGGTATGTGATACTGTAGTTTTGGTTGTAACATGATGGAAGGTATGTATTTTGGTATAAGTCAGATTCTTCTCTTTATGGAATGGATGATAGCATTTACAACCTTAGCTGACTTGGAGAAAGAGTAGCTTTAGTTTTGCTGGTAAGTTTGTTGTAGTAGTGATGCTTCCCATCATTTACTTCTTAAAGTGGTGGTTTTAAAATAGTATTTTACTCTTCATGTGTACCTTTAATCTTTATGTCTCAGAGTACTTTACAGATGGTGATTATTTTTTATGACACCTCTGAAACTAATGTCAGAATTACACAAGCCTTACAAAACTGTAGAGCAAAATAAAAATAAAATCTTGGTTCCTGAACATCTATTTGTCTTCTGGTACCATTTAAGAAATTTTAAAAGGTGAACAGACTAATAACTTTTCTCAGTGGAAAGTTGACATTTCTTTATTTTTACCTTAACTGAACATTTACTTGGTTCTTTTGTTTAAATTGCAGAATGCCGGGTCTAAGTTGTAGATTTTATCAACACAAGTTTCCTGAGGTGGAAGATGTAGTGATGGTGAATGTCAGGTCGATTGCTGAAATGGGGGCTTATGTTAGCTTGCTGGAATACAACAATATCGAAGGCATGATTCTTCTTAGTGAGTTATCCAGAAGGCGAATCCGTTCTATAAACAAACTCATCCGAATTGGTAGGAACGAATGTGTGGTTGTCATTAGAGTGGACAAAGAAAAAGGTAAGTGAGAAAAATACCTAAATATAAACTTAGATTGAAAATATTTTATTTAAAAATAAGTATTTGTAAATACCCATTGCAAATAAAGGGGGGGGTGGATAATCACCTCTTATACTTAATTTTTTTCCCATACAAAGTTGTCTGGAAAGAATTCCAATTCACTATCTAAGCAAGACCTTATGTTAGAAGTGATTTAATTAGTGCAAACCTATCTTGGAGATTTTGCAAATAATGAAATTAAGCAGGTCACATGAATTTTATTTCCTAGTACATACAAAAGTTACATTTATACTATACTGAAGTCTCTGTATGATAGCTTTATGTCTAAAAAAAGAATGTGTATACCATAACTACACTATGCCAGAAACAAGTGAACATACACTGTGGGAAATGGCACAGCAGACTTCCTAATCAGAGCTGCCACAAGCTTTCAGTTTGTTTTAAAAACAAAGCTAGTATTTTTTGAGGCTCAATAAAACAAGGTATGCATGTTCATTCCAGGGCTAGTTTTTGTTGTTAGATAACTTGAATTTTATCCTCAGGTTATTAACATCTTGATAATGGACTCATAGTTGCCAAAGTTAGGAGAGACAGGTAAACCACAGTACTAGTCATTTTATATTTGTTGGATACTTTTTTCTTGATTTAAAGCAAAAGTGGTTAGATTGTATTGGACAAGGATGGAAATGAGCCAAAAATAAGTGTATTTTAGGAATAGTTTATATTGCTTTGAAATATATACTCCTTAGAGTATAAGGATGTAAAGCCCAGTATTATATGTCTCTTTGGTAATCAGAAAGCTTATGACGCCCAGTTCCTGTGTGATCTTTCAGATAGTGTTAAATGAAGATTCATTTTTCAATCATTAACTACCTTTTTTTCTGGGCCTCATGTGAATCTTTACCATTGTGAACACATTGTTTTCTAAACACAGTATACAAATATACATTAAGTGGGTTTGAGTTTCAACAGACTTTTATTGGTTTCAGCCATCTCACTATAGTTTCATATAGTTTACCATCTTACTCAAAAAACAAGCACATTAATTACATTTGTCTTTTTTAATTGTCTCTCCCAATCTAGTTGATCCATAACTGGCATTTATTTTCTGATTATATGCTTAAATGATGAACAATATCTTACATTATTCCTTAGGTAGTGACTACAGCTTAGCACTTTGATTATTCTAAATTTTTTTATATCACTTATGTGTAGCCTACCCCAATTACTAAGCTATATGAATACTGAGACTGTGCCTTATTTTCATGTAAATCTTCATGTCACTGTCCCAGCAGGGCCTAGAATATCCTACCTTGTAGTTATTTTTTCTGTTACATAAAATATATGTGAAAAGACAATTGAGATGGAAAAAAAATGTGCACAATGATGTAAAAATAAACCTTTTAATAAAAAAATGAAGATATTAAAAAATATATATATGTGTGAAGAGGAATCAGATATATTTTTGACTGTAATTATGCTTATATAGGTACAATAGATACAAAAATATTTTCATGGCATTGTTTATACAGTATTAATCAAAAACAATCAAAACCATGGTTAAATAAATTTGACTCTGCATTGCAACTTTATATAGAATAAGATGAGTATTTTGATATGGAAAGAACTCATTGCTAAGGGGTGATTAAAGCAAAGTGCAGAAAATCCTATAAAGAGATCCATTTCTGATAGTAAAAGGTAGACCCTGATAAAACTTTCAACATAACTGCTCTAAATCCTGTATAGATATTTTTTAATTGTCTAAAAACTATGGGAACAACCAAAAGCAATCCAAAACTGAAGGCATATTGATATTTAGAAAAAGGGAACTACCCTGATAAGTTTTACACCTTTTTGTCTGAGTACAGACAGGAAAGCAGAATTTTAGAGTTCAATAAGAATTAACCTAGTAAATTAAATAGCTTGAGAACCAGAGATGAGAGTTATGGACAACCATAACATATAGAAAGTATTTCCAGGAATTGGAGAAAGAACAGCCCCAAAGTTTACATATAAATTCCATTCAACTCTGGTTCATCCTTGAACCACAAATCACCTGGTCGACTGTAAACAGCCAACAGGGTGAAAAAATCTGAACAAATTTCAGTTGCTTTTCACCTGGGAAAACACAGCCCATAGTTAGAAATTCAAGCAAGTTAACAACTATACCAAAATATCAGTATCTTTAAAAGAACTCAGAGTCTCATGTCATCATTAACAGTGTCCAGGATACAATCCAAAATTGTAGCATTTGAAGAAACAGGAAAATAAGACCCACCTCTAGGATGACCTAGAGGTGACCCTCATATTGGAATTCACAGATAAGGATTTTAAAATAAGTGCTTTAGTATATTAGGAGCATATGCTTGCAGTGAATGAACAACGTAAAATCTTAATAGAGAAATTAGAAATTCTCCCAAAGAAATAAATGTAAATTCTAGAACTTAAAAAAATATGTCTAAAAATTTCACTGCATGGGTTAACAACCAGTTGAGAATTACAGAAGATTCACTAAAATTTGGGTTTTAGTTCATTGAAATGAATAATGAGGAGGAAACAATCTATCAAATATGAAGAGCTCTGTTCAAGAGAAGAAATTGTGGCCAAAACTTTCCTGTATTTGCTGAAAAAAAATAACGCAAATCGGAGAAGCTCAGTAAACCTCAAGCAGGTTAAATATTACTACTAAGACTGCATGTAAGCACATCAAACAAAAGACAAAGATAAAGAAAATTTTGAACTTAGCCAGAGGAAATGACAGATTATTTACAGGGGAACAGTAATACAAATTACTGTGGCATTCTTAATGGAAATAGTGGGGATCAGAGCATTTAAATGACGTCTTTAACGCACTGAAGGAAAGTGCCTGTTAAACTAGAGTCTGTATAACTGCTTGTCTCGTTGTCTGCCCTGGGAGTTTTAACGTATGGAAGTGGGTGAAAGATGATACGGATAGACCAGTGTCATTGAAAGAAAATTTTTGCTAAGTTTCCCAGTAGATGGGGACGCACCATGCCACTCAGAGCCACTGAAAATAACACTTAGTCAAGAGGCAGAAAGATCAAGGAGAAATCCTAAGCCAGAGCCCTAACTGAGGTTTCCACAGGAAAAGCAAGGCATATCAGGGTAAGCATTGTAGACTTGTTAAGGCTACATAGTTTTGATAGGGTTGAGGCATCGGGGCTATCTGATACCTGGCTCTGGCTTGATTTTGGGCAGAGGCAGTATTGCTTGGTGTGAGAGTTTAATGAGATGGTCGGACTTGTGAGCTCTTAATTGGTTAGTTCGTGTATGAAGGCTGCTCCAGGTAAGCCCTTTTCTGTTTCTGTGAATAGACTGGTCTGGAAAAGGAGGAGTAGAGTGAATAGTCCCCTATGATCCAAATATCAGAGAATACAATTGCATTATTAAAATGCAGTAGACCCTTTGATCAATAGATGCCAAGTAAACAAATGCAGAATGTTTTGGCTAACATTCATGTGTATAACTAAAATTATTAGTTCCTCAAGAGGTTCATGGAGACACACAATTACATGGTAATAAAAATGCACTTTCTAAAAACAAAAACCTCATTTTGTATTTCCTCTGTGATACACTTTTTATGGGATTTTAATGGGGAATAAATGTAAGTATCCCAGCCAAATTTGTTGCATTTTGCTAGCACCCAGACAGATCATTTTTATAAAATTTTTCTTGCACAGGATATATTGATTTGTCAAAAAGAAGAGTTTCTCCAGAGGAAGCAATCAAGTGTGAAGATAAATTCACCAAGTCCAAAACAGTAAGTAGATTTTTGAGTCATATTAATCCACTATTGGATGGATGTGTTTAATAAGTATGTTATATTCCTGACAGAAAAATAAAAAATAAAACCTTACATTTTCTGTGATTCTTTATTCCTGTTTCCAATTTTGTATCATAATTTGAGAGCTTAATTTTAGAAGAGTATGAATAAAGAGTTTTTAATCTCATGTAGTTAGTAAAAGTATTGCTTATTTAATATTCACAAATCACTGCAAGATGTTAGTGTTTAAGCTATTTTGGATTAAGTTAAATATGGGTAACGTCACCTGATTTGACAATATATAGTTCTTGGCTTTCGACCCTGTTCTGGGATAAAGGTCCCAGAAAAAAACAACAGGTATATGTTGAGAATGAGAATGGGTATGCAAAATAATCCGAATCCAGGAAGGTAAGTCCTCCCTCTTTCCTTATCACCATCCCACCCCCAGTTTGTTATCTGCATTACTATTTTTTGCTGTGTTCACTTATCCACAATAAGCACTAATGTAGCAAGAATCATTTCTTCATGTTCTCTCTTTTTCTGTTCTCTTGTCCTTTTTACATTATCCTTTATTTCCTAGATTCTTGATTCTTAATGGCACTATTTCCATGGTTTTCTTTTCTTTGCTCTTTTGTGTCCTTTGCTCTTTTCTGCAATATATCTTAGATTCCTGTACTCAACATAAAATGCCATGAAAACTATTCAAATGAAGAGATTTTTAAAATCGTGTTTATTAACTCTAGTAAAAAGAATAAAAATCTAACCATGATTTGTTTATCTTTAAACAAGATAAACCATTTGATCTTTCCCTTTGTTTTACTAATTCATTAACTGCAGTGTGGTGTGCACATAACTGCTGATGAGAATGTAGGATCTCAAGTCACAACAAGTTTAACGATCCATATTTGCTATAGGAAACTTCGTTTTGTTTCATTCCCCTATCATATTGTCAAAATCAGATGACAGAATGAAATACCAGTGTTAGTACCTTTCTTCAGATTTCATGTGTAATGAACACAAGAACCTCCTTATAGTCTTTCTCTTTTAATCCCCTTTGTTTTAAGGAGAGTAGAAAAAGAGCTTCGCAGCTGTGGGTGGAAGTGGATAGGGTTGAATAATAACTGAGCAAAGTGATTATTAAAATCTCTGTCTCATACGAAAGTTAGTAATCATACCTTACATTTATAAAATGGAATTTGTATCATGTTTTGTTTTCCATTTATCAAATATATGTGTGTGTGGTATGTAAAGTAAGTAAGGAGAGATACTAGCATCTCCCTTTTCCAGGTAAGGAAACATTCAGATAGGTTAATTTATCCCACAGTCAAGATTTGATCTTGTTTAGACTAGATTGATTAGATTCTATATTTTTTTTTGTAACTATTTGTTGTGACTTTAAGTTAATTATCATGGGAAAGAAGATATTTCTCTTTGGAGAAAGAGTATGTGGTATGGCAGTCTTTTGTTGAGTAAATATTGTAGTAAAACTAACCAGTTTGTTTTTATGTACTGTCTACTAAAATGTAAAATACCTAGTTTTCTATAAATCTCTTGCCTTTGAGTTGTTCACCCCTTTATTTTGTTTGTAGGTTTATAGCATTCTTCGTCATGTTGCTGAGGTGTTAGAGTACACCAAGGATGAGCAGCTGGAAAGCCTGTTCCAGAGGACCGCCTGGGTCTTTGATGACAAGTACAAAAGGCCTGGATATGGTGCCTATGATGCATTTAAGCATGCTGTCTCGTAAGAATCCCTTCTTGGCTCTGCTTCTACCTTGATATCAGAACTGCTGGGTCTAGCACACATGCTGAGATCCTGACATTTAAAAACACTGCATCCATGTATAAGTCCTTCCCAAACTTAGATTAGAATATTTCACTATCAAAAAAACCCATGAGATTAGCCAATCCTATATAATTATGTTTTCTTAAACTAAATGGTCTCATCTCACACTGCTCCCTTACATACTTTTCTTTTCTACCTTGGTATTGTCCTAGGTGACTTCAGGCCAACGTAGATGCCTCATCTTTCTTGTCTACCTCAGTTCCTTGAATTCAGTCGACACCCCTCAAGCCAGTTTTCCACGTTGGTTTACCCTGGCCTTAATCTCAGCAGGATGTGCCCTGCCTTCCATAACCTTTACTTCAACATTCTGGTCTTCTAACACAGCCTCCTGGTCTACTTCCCGTAGTCCATCCTGCTCTGTGCCATCTTAATTACTGTCAGGCTCTGATCAAACCTTTATTTTCTTCCTATCTCTTCATCTTTCCCTGCGTTTTCTTGTTAAACATAGATATACTGTGATCTTTCATTTCAACAACTTTCTTACCGATATCATGAGCTCTTTGCTCTGTTTTTCCTTCTGTTACATCCAGCCCTGGATCCATGTTCCTGTCTTCTCTGCACTATAGTGTTCTGGTTGCTGCTAGGAAAAGCCACAGTCTTGCAGGTTGGTGTCGCTGCATATTCATGGTCTCCAGCTTCAGCTGGACCTTCTCTGCTCGTGGTCAATTCAACACTTGGAATTTCTCACTCTTATATACTCTTCTCATTTAGTTGGTATGTTCTGTGCCTAATTTATAAAGAAAATAGAAGCCATTACCTGTTTTCTTCCTCTATTTCAGCAAACTTATCTCCCTCTCATTTGTCATTACTTCCTCTGCTGTCACACTGGGGTTTCATATCTCCTGTTAAATTAATCCTACCACCTTTGTCCAGCTACTGCTCAGGGATCTGGATCTCTTTAAGTTTTTCTTTTACTGGTACACTCTTGATTTCTCTCTTATACTAAAAAACAATCTTCTCAACTTTCCCTCTATTGTGTAGCAAACATGGTATATTCTCCTTTCAACTGCCAAGACTCTTGGGTTCTCTGTCGTAAAAGTCTCTTTTAAAAAACTTAATCTTGGCCGTCCCTGGTAGCGCAGTGGTTTAAAGCACAGCACTAATACACTAAAGCCACTTCAGCATGAGTTTGATCCCCGCCCAGGAGATGATCCACATGGCATGGCAGACTTCTCCTTACCCACAAAGTGGATCATCTCCGGGGTGGGGATCAAACTCATGCTGAAGTGGCTTTAGCTTCTTAGTGCTGTGCTTTTTTTTTTTTTTAATATATTTATTTATTTATTCGTACAGAACTGGGGTACAGGCCAGAGATGCGGAGGGTGAGAGGATTCACCAGAGACAGAGCAGAAAGCAGAACAGGCAGATCTAGGAAGTACACTGCTGAGGAGAGCAGCGGGCGGGTCAGGAGAGGTCTGCCACGCCATGTGGATCTCCTCCGGGGCAGGCGGGAATCGAACTCATGCGGAAGTGGCTTTAGCTTCTTAGTGCAGTGCTTTAACCCGCTGCGCCACCAGGGAGGGCCGTTAGTGCTGTGCTTTAACCCGCTGTACCACCATGGAGGGTCAGTAAATAAATAAATCTTAAAATAACTCTTCATCTTCCACTCCTCTCTAAATGTTAGTGTTCTTCAAGCATTCTCATGAGTCAACTTGAGGCTATTTTCTCAACCATTGCTTCCAAGGGATATAGGTCCCCTGAGCCCTTCAAATGGTTGGGTGTATGGCACGTGCTTCTTTTAGATCCTGCAGCAAGCCACTGTAAATCTCTTCCAGTTTACCTATACCCCCTGCCTACCCCAATCCTAGTCACATGGGAAAGGTAAAAATAATATTAATTATTAACCTTTATATAATTCTCGCAGCACCTTTTGGTATAAGTGTTACTGTTGTCCTTATAGATGAGGAATTTGAGACAAAGATTAAATAATTTTTCTAATTTTACACAGCAAATGGTAGAGCCAAGATTCAAACCCAGGTATTTTGGCTCCCCCCAGAGTTTATACTATTAATCGTTACATGCTGCTTGGTATTCCTGTTCTCTGACTTTAAACCTGCACTCCTCAATAAGTACATCTTTCAACTTGGCTTGCTGTTATCATCTGGCCCTGACTTTTTAGTTTTTCCTGCAACATTCTTCTTTTGCTCATCAGTCCTGTAGTGGCTATCCAGGTCTAACTAATGCTTATTTATTTATTTATTTATTTATTCATTTATTTTGCTACATGTACTTCGTGATTTTTTTTCTTTTAATTAAGAAATAAAATTTCTGAGGTAGTTGTAACCAATGTTTAAGCCTTCCCAGCCATTTTTTCCTACAAACTTCAGTGGTAACCACTATTCTGGAAAAAGTATGAATCATCATTTTGTTTCATGTCTGTACTACAGTGTCTGTAAAGTACATGTAAAATGGCTTTTGTGTCTGTCATTATAAGGCTGTTATTAAGCAGGATTTCTCCAAAGTGATAAATTATATTACTCATTATCTTTTTTATATATATTATATATATATACATATATATATATAATATGAAATAATATCTATGTTTTACACCGTTCTTCATTTTGTACATTTTTTCATCTTGGTTGTAATACTCGTGGACTTCCCACTACTACTTCACCCCTATGCCATTACCATAGTCCCGTGTGCTCTTCCCGCCCCAGTTTTGATCCTGTTCCCCTCTACACCCCCGTAGATGTTATCTAGCTTATAGTTGTTTGTTGATTTTCATTTATACTTTATTGAAATTGCTTATTTTTTCTCTGATCCCTTACACTCCTGCTATGAGTAAAACCATCTTGTATTTTTCTTTTTCTTTCTGGCTTATTTTCAGTAAGCATGATCCCTTCCAGCTCTATCCATGTTGCCGCAAATGGCATGAGTTCATCTTTTTTTTTTTTTTTTTTTTTTGATTACTGAGTAATATTCCATAGTGTATATGTACCACATCTTCCCTATTGTAAATAGTGTAGCATTAAACAGGGGTGAAGGTGTCATTTTGAATTACTGTTTTTGTGTCCTTTAGGTAGATATCTGCCACTCATTATTTTCAATGTAGTCTATCATTGTGAGAATATACTTTCTCTGTTCCCCTGTTTAGAGATATTTAAGTAATCTCCCTCATCATACATGTCTTCATACATTGTGATTTTTTGAAGTATATATCGAGGAATAGAATTGTTGGGTCATACATAGTGTTAATATATGCATCTTTAGATTTACCCAGTTTTGCTAAAATCTCTACACATTGATCCTACAATTTATATACCCTCTAGCAGTTGTAGGATTGTTTCTTTGTCTTTGCATTCTCACCAGCATTTGGTACACATCTCAATTTTTTTTTTTTTTTCCTTAAGCCAAACTAATGGATCTTGTTCCAGATCACATTCTACTGATTTGGGGGGAAATTAACAGCTTTTCATGTTTGTTGATCCTTGTATTCATTCTGTGAAGCCTTTCTTCATTGCATTTACCCATTTCCTGTTGGCTTCTCTTCTCACCATTTTGTAGGCAGCATTAGCTGAACAAAAGTTCTTTCCATCCATATTCTTTTGCCTTGTACTTCTTAATCCATGCTTTTTTAAGCATTATAACTTCCTTTCTTCCAATAGTTGTTCTTTTGCTTATTAAAAATCCTACCAGTCTTTTAGCTTTGTTTTTTTGTTTGTTTGTGTGGGTTTTATTTTGTTTTTCATTTGTTAAGTAAACCATGCCAGTGACTAAGACCCTGGTTTGGGACTTAGGAGAGTTAGATGAAATACCACTTTATACATGATCTCCTTCCTGACCCCACTAACTGAAACTAATACTTCCCTGTCCTGGAGCTCAGGGACACACTCTTTTCTTTTAAATTTTCTCCCATGTTGTTCTTTTGCCAGACTAGATCATAAGGCTTGAAGCAGGGGCCGCTGTTACATGGAAATAATGATAATAGGAGATAATATGTTAGAAGACATTTTAACTTGCTTGTTTTAGACAGATTGCTAATTAATTGGATGTTTCCTATTTGTCATAACCTCCTAAGTTTTTCACATGCTGTCCTCATTTAATTCCAAATTCTGTGATAATTTGCAGGACTCATTTCTCCTTCATTGTACACATTTAAAAACTGAGATCTGGAAAGACCCAGAGACACATTATTTATTAAAGTGCAGAGCTAAGATTTGAATTTAATTCTGCTACTAAGGGCTTGCTCTAAATTATTTAATAATTGGAATTTATCAGTAAAGTAACCTTGACCTTTTGTTGTTTTATGATTTGGGGGTTTGTTTGTTTTTTATCAGAGATCCATCTATTTTGGATAGTTTAGATTTGAATGAAGATGAACGGGAAGTACTCATTAACAATATTAATAGGCGTTTGACCCCACAAGCTGTCAAAATTCGAGCAGGTAAATTATTTTTTTTAATGATATGTAAGATATTTTGCATGTATCGAGAAAGTTGTTAAATAATAAGCCTTACCAAAAAATATGTTGCTACATCAGCATCTGTACGTTTTTCTAAGTTTGTTTTCATAACAGAAAAACTTACAGTATTTTTCTTCTGTTGAATCATAAATTTAAGTTGACAAAAGTGAAAACTGATTTGAGTTCAGCTAACCTTAAGTTAGCCCTTTTCTAAAAAAAAAAGGGGGGGAGGGAGGATGTTTATTTTTACTATATGCTATAAAGTATTCTTAGATTATCCTGCCATTTATCTAATTAACTTGTTCATTGTTTGTAATACATTCTTGTCAAAACATTTTGCCTACACACATGTGCTATTTAGTATTTAGGAATTATGTTGTTTATATTCAGATTTAATTTTTGTTTTTACAAAAAAGGAATACTATGCAAATTTCTCCAACTAGTTTTTTCTACTTGGTGTATCCTGGCTGCCCTTTCATGCAGAGCACAGGAATCTTCTCATTTTTTTTTAATGACCAGGTAGTAGTGCATACACTGATAAACACTAACAGAAACTAGTACATTATTAAAAGAACATTTAGGTTGTGCCAGTTTTTTAATATTTAAACACACACACAAATTAACACCATTATATGTATACACTTATTTATGTAAAAGTTCTATGAAGCAAACCTTTTTTGAGAATTTTTGGTGTAAACGTTTGAGTTCTTTATAATTTCAGATATTGAAGTGGCTTGTTATGGTTATGAAGGCATTGATGCTGTAAAAGAAGCTCTGAGAGCAGGTTTGAATTGTTCTACAGAAACTATGCCCATCAAAGTGAGTAGTCGGTTTCTCCCTCCCTGCTGAAACAGCCACCTAACAAGTCAGATGTTTTTTATGCTTTGATTTCTTAGCACGTGTTAAGAAAAGTTATTCTTGATGCTATTTCTAGGGTATATTTACAATAATGCATAGACTTTTTGTTGTAGCTACTGCTGCTGTCACAGTGGGTGGGGTTTCTATTGGTATTTAGTGCCAAATGGTAACTATGCTAAAACTCCTTTATAGTAAAAAGGTCATATGCCCATAATGCTCAGAGTCTTGAAAGTATTTTCTCATATTCACACAACTTTTAAGTAGTTTGGTCTGAATAATTGGTTAGTAATGAAAATAACTGGATGGTGGCTGTTCAGAATCTCTTAGAAGAATGTCTTAGGACCAAATAGGAGTTTTTGTTTGGTTGGTGACAGGTTATCTGTTATGCTGATGATGTCTAGGATTAATTTAGCTACTAGACACCCAGAAGTCATAATTCTTCATATTTGGCATTGCAGTGCATTGTTTATACTACTGGGTTAGGATACTTACTTAACCAGTTAGCTTTTGTTTCATTAACAAGTCCCCTCAAATTGATGACCTGTTCAGCTTTGGGGTGATTATTTAAGGCAGCAGATTAACAAAGTTCCCAGTAGTTAGGTGTACTGTAGGTACGTTCATAATTAAGTTGTTGTCTTTCTTCCATAGATTAATCTAATAGCTCCTCCTCGGTATGTGATGACTACAACGACCCTGGAGAGAACTGAAGGCCTCTCTGTCCTCAATCAGGCTATGGCTGTTATTAAAGAGAAGATTGAGGAAAAGAGGGGTGTCTTCAATGTGCAAATGGAGGTAAGATCAGTACTGTTTATGCCTTGTTCTAAAGTCTTTAAGAAATGAAATCATTTAAATGATTTACATTCTAAAATCATCATCACTACCTTTTAGTTTTAAAGATAACACTGGAGATTATGACCCTGCTAAGCATAAAATAACCATTGCCTTAGTGGGTTCCTAAAAGGACTTTTTTCAGTATATAAAAAAACTGTTGTGAAATGGTTTATTGAGGACTATGAAAACTTACGGCTTTAAGTTTCTCTTCCCCTAGACCTACTGCCAGGAGAAAATAAGTAGACAATGAAAATGTGTGATCAGCTATCATGAGAATTTAATGTGTAATACTTAAAAATTTGATTTTAGGATTTAGAAACGAGTCATCTGTATTTTCCTCATAAACATTATATACATAAGTTTTCTGTGGAAAGGAATAGTAATGTATAATAAACCCAAAAGATGCATTTTCATAGGACCTTTTTGTGGATTGGAAGATGTAGTCACTGAGATTATTTTCATTTTGAGTTTGTAAAAATAGCAGAAAATGGTATTCTGCTTTAATGCATGCACGTTTCTTCTATATTTCTTGTTCTTGTACATTTTTTGTTAAGAAATTTATCAGTGATGTGTCATCACTTGAAAGTGAACATGTGTGGCAGAGTTGTCAAAAAGCAAAGTGTTTAAGAGAAAAATACTGGGCAGTAATAGTAGTTGACATTGAATTGTGTGCTGTTTAACTGCATTGCTTTGAAATTTTGCCTCTGCTTCCACAGCCCAAAGTGGTCACAGACACAGATGAGACTGAACTTGCAAGGCAGCTGGAGAGGCTTGAGAGAGAGAATGCAGAAGTGGATGGAGATGATGATGCAGAAGAAATGGAAGCCAAAGCTGAAGATTAACTGTGGAAAACAGAGTCCAGTTTGAGGAATACAGAACAGCCCTTCTTGCTGTAAACCCTAGACTTGAAAGTTTTCCAGTATTGAAAACTTAACAGCTGAATATTTTTTATTTCCAAGTATTTAAATGTTCAACAGACCAAATGCCCTCCTGAATGCCAGCTGTTTTCACACATTAGCTCCAACACATTGAGCACTTTTTGAGGGAGTGGCTTGATTTTACTAGAGACAAATATTTAAAAATCATAAAATTGGGCCTGTGATTTCCATTTCTGATGTCTCCAGATTGGCACCCCTTTGTAGTTTAGTGCCTCCATGAGATTTCCAGGGGCACCCAAAGCAAATAGTCTGAACCTTTCTATATAAAATGTATCAAATAAACATTAAATAAATTTCTGGGATATTTAACTATAGGCTTCTTCCTTCTTGTCACCAGTTGAAAGCATTATGAATACTATTACCCTAATTCTGTTATCTTCATCTCACTCTAGATGTAGAAATATATGGACTACTGATAAAAGAATCAATGCAGCCGGTCCTTTCAAAGGGGTTAGAGAAAATGGTTAAAGCTGACTTTAAGGGGGGGAAAGCCTTAAAATGCAATTAAAGATATATTAGTTGTGTGCCTTTTACTTAGTTGAGATTGATGACAACATCCGGTATAAGGGACAAATAATCACACTGTACTAAGCTGCTTGTCTTGAGTTTGTGATTCAGGCTAGTAAATTATGTTTTGGTTTTTGCTGCTTTAATTATTTTAAAGTATTCCCATCCAACATTTGCTATTTTTTTCCTTTAAACTATTCACTAGATGCCACCTAGAGCTTCACTTCTCTTTATAATAATAGAATAAGGATCTTTTTGAATACAATTACAATTTTTCTACATGTTTTCATTATTTTAGCTCTAGGAAATAATTGTTTTAAAGATACACAAAGGTAAATTCCACAGATAACAAACACATGGTTTGAAGTCAACAGTTGCAGTAGTCAGGGTGTTAAAAAGTCAAGTTCCTTTGTTCTGCTTTAAAATTTAACCTCTAGGCTAACTGAGGTATTAAATATATTAAATTTTAGTAATTTCATATAAGGATATCTATCTACTTAGGAGAATAAAACTAACTCACTCTTGTTAATCCAAAGCTAGATTTAACTGTCTAAAAGGGGCTAGAAAGGAGTGTGTTGATAAGACAGGTGGTGCCATTTGTAAAGGTGTATCTCTGTTTAATTTAGTGGCCTCTGCTAGCTTTTAAATCCAAAAGTCTCCAAGAGGGAGCTATGATTACTAGGTAGGTCCCAAACTGGGAATTTAGAGGGAATCTTGGCTGTACTCAAAATTGGCACACAATTTTCACTTTTGTCTTTTTGAAGGGTCCAAAAACTTAAAGCATCAAAAATGTCATCAAAATATAACAGGTGCTCCTTAAATGTTTGTTGTAAATAAGAGAAAGGAATTTTTATTTGGCTTACTGGATTTTTTTAATACTTCAAAAGCCATAATTGTTGAGAAATATTGTTGGCCCACATGATGAGTGATTCTATTCCATACAGGCCTTCAGTTCCACCACAATTTAGCAAATCTGACATTTGGCAGGAAAAGAATCAATACCTCACTAATGCCATGAAGAGAATTAACTAAACTTAAAAGTATACTTAACACTTGAAAAGTATCACTTGCAGAGAGGCTTGCACCCGCTCCAAATAACTTCAGGAACAGATTGAGACGGTTGACCAAACCCCAATCTTGGATCTCGAACCACCGAAGCCTCTTCCTTGATAACAGACAATTTCATCTCTACATTTGTGACTGTTGTTGTCAGCTAATTAGCTGTTGTTTGGGTTTCATCCTTACTCATTGAAATGATCACAAAAAAAAAAAAAAACCCAGCCATTCAAAACCACTGTTCCTGTTTTATAGCAAAAAAAAAAAAAAAGACCAGTATCTGTGGCTAATCCTTAAAACACTGGAAACGTGCAGTCATGCTAAGTCATGCTAAGCAGCAGTTTCCTCAGCTACCACACTTTCAAACGTTGTTGATCCAACTTCTTTTACATCAAGAACAATTAAAATGCTACAGGATTTTAAAAATTCAAGTGCTAGTACTTTTGTAAGAGGTATTGCCTAAGTTGCCTTGAAGTGAAGGTCACTACTTTCCAACGTGTGAAGGTTCTGCTCTCTCAGAGGGGTGCAGTTGTGCCAATTTGGAGTCCAGACTAAGTCTATGTTAATGTCTATTGATACTCAAAAAGCAATAAGGAAACTTAATTCCAGGGACATTAGACCTTGAAATGCTGAGTGGAAAATGGTGCTTTAAAAGACAGTCTTACAATGTAAGGAATAAAGTAGAACCTCACTAGCTTGGATTCCTGATCCATTAGGTTAGGTATTCAAGGCAATATTAAGAAGACACAATTCAAGCTAAAATTTTTACTTAAGCACTTTGGAAAGTATCTATTCCCCTTAAATGTAAGTTACATATCTTACCTATTCACTAAAAGAAGTCTAAGCACTTGTACTTGGCAGGAATGCTAGCAGTGACTTGTGCCAGATGCTGTATGAACTTGAAAATAATAAAAATGTTTTTTAAATTATGATGCAGACTTTTCACTACTTCAGATTACCTTGACTGGTTAAGTATCTTGGTACATATTTGTCTCAGTTGATGCTTACTTTAGAACCTCATTTTCATGCCGCAGATATTTTCCCTTCTGTCATTTCAACAACACCTGCTCCTGTCCTTTAGCAGGTTTTGCTGGCCATCACTTTCTGAACACCATTTTCACAGCTAAAATTATACCTTTTTTTTTTTTTGTATGTGTGGCTAATCTTGGAGAGCCAAGTTCATGATTTCTTTTCTGCAATGTTTGGTACTTAGGCACATTTATTTTCTAGAGCAAAACTGTATTCTCTGTTGAGTCAAAATTTTACCAGCACCCCCACTTTAAGATGAAGCATATCTTACAGATCACTTGAGATATTTCCATAATTAGTTTGCATAATTTATATAGCCTCAAGCATGAAAGCTTATGCAGAAATTGGAATAGCTAGAAACATGCCAATGTTTATTCCAAGTGAGTCAAGAGTTGACATTTCACAGGAGAGAACCCTCATGAGACTAATTTTATTAGCACAACATGACGAGTTAAGTGTTGCAAAAAGGAAAAACCTACGTTGCTGCCGGAAGATGCTGTGATGGGCAGAAGTCAGGTGCTCGGCATTGTTAAGGTAGGGAAGGATTGTAATCTGAGGGACTTTGTCTCACTCCAGAGCAGTACAAAATATACAAAGAAGTCAAAAGTCTTTATCCAGGGAATCCGTCTGTGTCATCCAGTAGAAGAATCCCGGTCCTGTTCTCTGAGAACCCTGTCACGTTAACTTTTTGATAGCTTCAATCCACTCAACTCGCTCAGCTTTGCTGCTGGCCTGGATATAATAGTGTATGTCATCCTTAGTAATCACTTTGAAGAGATTTCCCTGGACATTCCCTTTAACTCCTAGGCAGGAAAAAAAACTCGGTGAGTGAATATGTCTGCAGCTGGAACCAGGTGAAATTCATAATTGAGACAAATAGGAACACGTGACATTTTGCTGACAACAAATGTATTTGGTTAAGCAATCCCACCAGGCACAAGCTTTTCCTGTTCCCTCGCCTGTGCCTTAAAAGCTATCAGTGGTAGGTCTGGACATTCTTAGAAGCCTTTTTGGCTTATCTCCTGTGTTGACCACAGAGCTACAGTTTCAGTAACATTAAAGAGTCTAGTATGTTTATGTTAGAAGCAGGTAGAGATTTGGGATTTGACTTAAGTGGAGCCTCAATTTCCATAGTCATGAAATGCAAATAATACACCATCATCCTGCCTTAGTGTAATAATAGATATTAGACTGTTGCTAACCCCTATGTACTATATTCTTGGGTGGAAACTTATGAGTCAGTAAGTACAGGATCTGAGTGGGAAGCAGAGTGGATATTAAGGACAAGAATTATTTAATTGTAGTGAAAACTAAAATATCCCACACACCCTTTACAGTGATTCTGAAATTGGTTTCAAAACACATCATTCTGGGTCTCCCTGGTGACACAAGGCGTTAAGTGCAGCACTGTGACACTATTTGCAGCCACTGCAGCATGAGCTGATCCCCAGCCAGGGAGGTGACCCACGTGGCACAGCAGACCTGTCCCGACCAATGCTCCCCTCAGCAGATATTTGAATCAGTCTGCCTGTTTGGCTTCCCCACTCTGAGACTTCTATCTGGTGAATCCTCTCACCTCTCCCATACCCCGTACCTCTGGCCTGTACCCCAATTCTTGCATGCATGCATAAATAAGTAAATCTCTAAAACACACACACATCATTCTTTGTGTCTGACAAAGCCCAACTTGGCTCCCATAACTCAGCAGAGCTTTACTGAGTGTGCAGAAGTGAAGCCCAAAATCCTTGAGATAGGATGGAAGTCACATCTTACCAGTGGGAACACCATTATCCTCCAGAGCAGACACAAGTGAGCCACGAAGAGAAAACCCACCCACTGGCCGGTTCTCCTCCTACAAAAGAAAGAGTCTCGGTTAGGGATGTGTGAATGCACAAAAGGAAAGAGTTACACTCTCACCTATTACTCCTACACATCATTATTATTACACATTATCAAACATCACCTGAGTGATAACTACCCTTAGGTAGTTATCAGCAAAATAAGTCAGACTTATTGTAACATCAGGTGAAGCTGAACTTAGACATCACTTTGCCAAGTTATTATTCACCAGTTCAGGCTTCATTTCATAACCAGCATCCGGGTCCTGGGCCCTCCCTGTGGTCTTGCCTGGCCCAAAGTGGCTCCATGCTCTGGGCACAGGGTGGAGATTTCTGACTGAAGTTCAGTGGCATAAAAAATGTCCAAAAAGAATGAAAAGCCCATGCTCTCTGAAACTCAGAATAGCAATTCTTTGACCAACTAGGGAAAAACACAAGGAAACTAGTAAACGGTGTTTGGACTATATTGTAAAAAAAAGAAATTTTCAAAACATTGGCGGGGAGAAACTGAGGTGGCAGGATCCAGGGGTTCTTGGCCCACAGGAGGGAAGAGTCTGGGACGCTCTTGTTAAGTCTCTTTATCAGCCTCACGCTCCCCAACCACTCAACACTTTCAGAGAAACACAAAGATGCTTTTCCCCTTGACATAATGACGCCTTAGTGACGTCTCCTCCCACAGGGACTGAGGGCAGGTGTCGCAGGTGGCAACATTGTGGAACAGAGATAGGAGAAGCATGGATGAACAGGCACGGTGGGCGGCATCAGTGTGGGAGCTGAGAGAAAGGAGGCACAGCCAACTGCGTGCTGCGCTCAGAAGACACGGACACTCAGAGGCAGGTTCGTAGGCCCCCCACTCACCTTGGAAGGGTCGTAGTAGTGCAGGAAAGCCGGGTCTTTCCTCAAGACAAAGCGTCGCACCTTCCAGTTTTTCCTCTTGTGCCCCTGGACAAAGAGAGTTCAAGGCTCATCACTGACATCGGTGCCGTCTCTTCCTGCATTTCCACTGGCTAGCTCTCAGAGCCAGCCTGCTCCCGGGGGACCACTTTCCTCAGTGAGGCAGGACCCCCGAGGATTGCAGTGATAATGGTGGACTTTAGCAACATCACTGTCACATTCATTTGAGTTGACAGGGCCAAGGAGGTTCAGTGCTGAAGGAAAAGGGAGCAGGACCCAGACATCACTCAGGACCACTAGGAGGCAGCAGGAGTGAACTGGACCCCAGGATACCAACATTTAAGTGTCAGCTTAATCCAAAAACCCACAGGTGCGTGTACACACACACACACACACAATAAAACCACTTTAACATTCTGCATCAGAAAAAGAAAAATGAACAATTTATATGTTAAAATTTAAAGGCCAGGTATTAGCATGTGACGCTCCAGTTTCACACAACAGCCCCCCCTCAAAGCTTCCCAGGCTTCCAGTCTGCAAGTCCCAGGTCCCTCGAGCCTCCTCCTCGTGCTCTTCCAGGCTCTCGCCGCCCCCCTCTCCAGACTCCTGTCAGATCCAGCAGAAGCAGGGCCCTTGCATGGTGGCAAGGTACCCCAGACCCAACCGAGAGCCTGCTGTGCAAGAAGCAGGTGACAAGGACAGCCCCTGCCCCTGCTGGGTGCCCAGCAGAAGTGGCACGGAGTGGTGAGCGCTGCACGGCGCAGGCCCATGGGCACACACATGCACCATGCACCTACAAACCCGAGCACCGTGCAGAAGGCCCCTTTCACCTCACATGCTATGACTGGACGATGCTTTCATACCACGGCTCTGTGCTCAGGCAGTCACATGGCGACGTGGCTCTGCCTGATTAGCGTGGCTAGCTGAGCACAGGGGTCACTGTGCTAACACCGGGCTCTCACTGTGGATAGCATCTCATCTTAGACCAGCTGTGGTAGGCGGAGAAAATACTTGTCTTTTTTAGTTCAGAAAGTCCATCGAGGGTTGTGCAGATCCCTACACAAGGAGAGAGACTCCTGGATGTCTCAGGGAGTAGCACTCCAATACGCAAAACACCCTCTCAGCTGGCAGCGCCTTTCCAGACAAATGTATGAAGTGGGCTGTGATGCTCTGCAATGTGATTCCTGTGCGTGCCCTTTTCCCGGACACCCCACGTCTGGGCTTGTGAGTGAGGGGTGGTGCTCACACCCTCTGCCTGCTTCCCACGGCTATACCTGGGCTCCCACACTCCCCCAGGTTCTGCCCATACAAGTGCCTTCTGGAAGTTTCAGCCTGGCCCCCTATGGAGGCACTGCTGCCTCCCTGCGTTTGAGCGTTTGAGCAGATCCCTCCTGGATCTGACAGGAGTCTGGAGAGGGGGGCGGCGAGAGCCTGGAAGAGCACAAGGAGGGCTCCCTGCCCTGAGGAAGCCACACCTGCTTGGCCAGATAGCCTTGTTTGACCACAGTGCCGCTGAGCTCCACCGAGCTAAGGTTGACTTCTTCCTTGGAGGTGGTCTTCTTCTTGTAGCTCTCGGCCTAGTGGAAAGGAGGATGCAAGACTCTTACAATACAGAACCCCACTCCACTCCTCTCGCCTGGACGGCAGACCCCTGGCCTCACCCTGCTGTCTCTTCCCTATAACCTGTTGATAAAAGAAACCCACTGTCTAACTTACAAAAGTGTACAGAGCCGTGGAGTCATCCAGGAACTGCTCAGCCAGATCCCCAGAGCGAATGGCCCCCAGGCTGCGGGAGCCCACTGGTCTGAGGAAGTTCTCCTCCATGAGCATGGATGCAAGGGTCACGGCTTCCAGGCGGCTGGCTGAGAAGTTGTTGGAGATGAGCCAGTCCACCAGGGAGGAGCCTGCATTGGGACAAAGGCACTCCGGTGAAGGGACATGTCAGGCTGCAAACCAGCTGCCTCAGGATACGCGGCTGTAACCTCAGTGACCTTGCTCCTGAGCCGCCTGGGGGCTCTACCTCAGAGCAGACTAGAGGTTACACCTGCTGCACAGAGGTGCGACCCAAGTGTGGCTACCACGGTCAGCTGGCTCTCTGACGCCAAGCACATGGCCGAGCCCCAAGTCTCCATGACCCAGATTTCCACAGCCCAGCCCGGCTACTCAGAGGGGAGGCTCACCTATGAAGGTCTTTTTGTAGGTGCTTCCCTGCTCCATGTTGGGGCTCGGCCGGATTCCAGTGCTGCTGTCATGCATCTTGTCCACAATGCGGCTGCAGGGGAGCAAGGCGAGAAGGGGGTGGGGGGTCCTCGTCACAGGGACAAGTATGGGGCAGCATCCCAGGGCCACTGCTAAGGGCGCACAGCAAGGGGCAGGTGGCACTCCACACGCGGCCAAGAAAGAGAGGGGTTCAGATCAGAATGCGGGAGGTGCAACCCGGGGGCATTTCTTCCCTTTGCTCATCTAACCGTTCTAGCATTTCCAAGCTAGACAGGCATTACTCTGGTAGGAAAATGAAAGAGCTGTGACTTTTCATTGAAAAACAAAAGGATGTACCGTAGACTCTGCGATCTTCTGCCTTAAGTTTAAACGCCGCCAGCTACTTCTCAAAGTCTCTCTTCGCCTGAAATCAGTCCCAGCTACTGTTGATCCGCCCTGGGACCCCCATGGCTTAGCAACACCTGGGATGTACAACCAAGATTTCAGGGCCTGGCTTGCATTTTTCTGGGTGAACCCAAGAGTGGTCTCATGCCATGTCTTCTCGGGTGTGAGTTTCTCTGCCTGGGAGGTCAGGGGTATTTCCTGCAGATGGGCTGCATCTCAGTTTCCATGGCAAGCCTTTGCATGTGTCCTGCTTTATACAGTATTGCCTCCACCACTGACCTGCTCCCCCTTCTGTCCTGTGAGATCATTCCTGCCAACATGGACGTTCTTTTCTCATCTTTCATTTGTGTACTTGGGCTGGAAAATCCCTGAGATGAAACCTTATTTATTCCCAGGGGCACCTAGTGCAGTGTGGGACATACAGTAGACACTCAGGAACTGTTTGCGGAATGGGTGAATGAATAAATGAGGAACCCACAGAACAAAAAGACTACCGCTACCAGAACCCTAGGCTGAGATCAAGACCAATGATTTGGTGATGGAGTTTCTCGGAAGCTGTGACACAACCCTGAGCACTCTGGCTAAAACTGGATGAGGGTCTCAAGTCACAGAGCTGGTTAGAAACAGCAGAGGCCCAAACAGCAGGGGGACAGAGGCAGGACCACTTCCAGGCAGAGAAAGCAGTAGGAGCAGGCCAGAGGCAGCAGAGGGCGGAAGCACAAGGTACGGGGCAGGCTGAGTAGCAACAGGACCCCCCTGCCCCAGGAGTTTGTCCACCAGGCCCAGGCCACACGGACAGAAGCTGCTGAAGCAAAGCCAGGCGGTGGGAGGGGCTGGGTCCAGCCAGGCACTAACTGCAGGCTGATGTGAGGGGGCAGCTTGAAGGAGTTTTTCAATATGTGGAGTTGCTGGACCTTCCCCGGCTGCCCAGCATGAATGGCCCCTGTGATCTCAAAGGCCCATGCGTCTCTGTCCTCTCGAGAACAGGCCTCCAGGAAGTACTCCGTGGATGTTCGAGTCTTCAGTTTAATGAGGAGCTGTGGGCAAGACAGATGATCAGACCAGCACTCCGAGGCCCCGAGGCAAAAGCCTGCTGGGCCAGTGGCCAAAGCCCAGACCCTTGGCCTTCCCCAGCCGGTGTCTTTAAAGACTGGCTTGGACTCCAAGTGACAGGCGCGCCTGCCTGTGAGGCAGCCTTCCCCTGGACCAGAGCCGCCCCGAGGCCACGGTGTTTTGACAGACCATCATTACCTTAGAAATCATCATCACAACCATAGCAATAGGCAGGTGGCATCATTTTGTACCATTTTACAGATAAAGCAGGTTCAGAAGAGGTTCGGCTACTTGTCCACAGTCAGACACCTGGTGTGTGGTGTTGCCAGGATTAAAACCCAGGCTTCTCGAGGCTCAGTTCTTCCCATTACCCACACCGCCTTCACCCATCAGGCCAGGGTGGGAGCATCAGGGCAGGGAGCAGCTGGCAAGCAGGGCCCCACTTACTGGTCGGGTTTCGTACTCCAGGCAAGGGCAGGTGATGGTGCAGCCGTCCAGCAGGATGCGGCCCTTGGGAGGCATCACTTTCCTGCCCCCCTCGAGCTTGTAGTACAGCAGCGTGTTCTGCTGGAGGGTGAACCACCGCACCTTCCAGTTGTGGACAATGTGGCCCTGGGGATAGACGGGAGAGCCCTGCTGTGAGTGGCCCAGGCGCGCAGACGGTGCGCCGAAACGACCCTCCAACAGGGGGCGCCTTCTCGCGCTCTCTGGTTATCGCTTGTTGCTTCATTTTATTTCGAAATAACTTCAATTCAGAGAAAAAGTGAAGGATAATATAAAGATTTTTTGAGAACTCTTCAAGATGAATTTTTAACACTGCACCGTTACTTCTGTCTATTTTATCATGTATCTCCTACAAAAAAAGAGAATATATCCTGAATATATTGTTGTCAGCTATTCATTCTACGAAGCTCATTCACATTACACCAATTGTCCCATTGTGTCCTTAATAGTCAAAGGACCGAGCTCAGAATCATATTTTTTTCCATAAAGCATTGTCCTAACCAAGGATGTAAAGTACTTATACAATGAAAACTGTAAGATTCTATTAAGACGCAGATCAAGACATAAAGAGATGGAAAGCTTTTCAATGACTACTGATTTTTTAAAAAGATTTATTATTATCTTCTGTCTATTTTATCATGTATCTCCTACAAAAAAAGAGAATATATCCTGAATATATATGTTGTCAGCTATGGCCTGGGGTACAGGCCATAGGTGCGGGGGCGGTGAGAGGCCCCACCAGAGACAGAGTGGGGAGCAGAACAGGCAGATCACGAAATACACTGCTGAGGGGAGCAGCGGGCGGGTCAGGGGAGGTCTGTGCCATGTGGGTCACTCCCTGCACAAAGATTGAACTCAGGCTACAGTGGCTGGTAACAGCTTGATAGCACTGACTGAGACTTTAACCATTGCACCACCAGGGAGGCTCCTAAATTAAACTGTTTTTAATAGATTTTATGTATTTATGGAAATAAGAACTGGTGTACAGACCGGAGGTGCAGGGGGTGAGAGGATTCACCGAAGACAGAGCAGGAAGCAGAACAGGCAGATCTACTGAAGTACATTGCTGAGGGGAGCAGCGGGCAAGACAGGAGAGGTCTGCCACGCCATGTGGGTCACCTCTGGGGCAGGGATTGAACTTGTGCTGCAGTGGTTTCAGATAGATTCATAGTGCTGTGCTTTAACCTGTTGTGCCACCAGGGAGGGCCCTAAATAAATCTTTTAAAAAGACATCTGACAAGAGTTCATTAACCTGCCTATATCTCATCTTGCTCTGTGGTGGTCAAGCTGTTCACATGAGGGGGCTATCGTAGCCAAACAGAATTTGACAGCTGTGCTCTGTACTCTGCCCTGTCCTCAGAGCCCACACAGAATAGCCATATCGCGGGCACACATGTCTATTGCCAGAGAAGACGTTCTCTGACTCCTCAGCAACCAGGGGTCTCTGCTGCTCTCTGGATGGCCAGACTCCAGTGCCCTTTCCTAGTGACACCTAACTGGGGGGGTCTGAGGCAGCACAGCAGTATATTGCTAGTGAATGAGGAATGGGTATGGGAGCCTTAGGAACAGGGTGCCCCAAGCCCAAGCCCATTTACCAGTCTGAATGATCAATGGGAACCATGAGGGTGTCCCCATGCCCAGGGGGCCTAGGTTCACTCATCAGTCTAACTGCAAACAATCCTAGGGCCAGGAGGATGCCCCCAACTCAATTAAAAATTGAATATTCAGACACCAACAAACACAACAGCACGATGCTAAAGCAATGGGCCAAGGCAGTGGGAGGACTCAGAGGGCTGTGGTAACCTGGGAGACCTCACGGACCCAGCCAGCCAACAAGAGAAACAACCTGGTGGTGTCCAGAGGCCAAGCCCCGACTCCTTGCCCACTCTACACATGTAAGCATGCACTGGCCCCTCAGTGTCTACCCTCTCAGAATCCCTCTCTGCTCAGAGAGCTTTCTGCACTCCCTCTTTTTTTTTTTTTTTTAGATTTATTTATTTATTCATACAGAACTGGGGTACAGGCCAGAGATGCGGAGGGTGAGAGGATTCACCAGAGACAGAGTGGGGAGCAGAATAGGCAGATGGAGGAAGTACACTGCTGAGGGGAGCAGCGGGCGGGTCAGGAGAGGTCTGCCGCGCCATGTGGTCACCTCCGGGGCAGGCGGGGATCGAACTCATGTGGAAGTGGCTTAAGCTGCTCAGTGCTGTGCTTTAACTCACTGCGCCACCAGTGGGTTATCTATCAACAAATCTCATGGCTTTCTGCAACTCTCATTTCAACACTGAATTCTTTTCTCACCAAGACAAGAACAGAGATCAATTCTTGGGGGTTCTGGGACCCTCAATCCCCGAATTCACTGGCGCACAAGGTTGTGCAGGGAGAGGAGAGGGGCTGGCACGAGGTGAAGAAAGGGAGAGCACAGGATGATCTTAAATGTTGACACAGAGATGATATGGGCTGAATCTGTCTGCCACCTCAGCCCTCCCACCTTCCTTTACCTCCAAGCAAAAAATCTGTATGTTGAAGCCCTAACCCCCACTACTCGGGCCACAACTCTTTGGAGAGAGGAACTTTAACTGGGTGACTTGCTTAAAGTAAGACAGTTGGATGAGCCCTCCTCCAACCTGATGGTCCTACTTTTATTTTTTTTTTAAGATTTATTTATTGGGCCCTCCCTGGTGATGCAACGGGTAAGGACGCAGCACTGCAAGCTGGCCGTAGCTGCTTCAGTGCGAGTTCGATCCCGCCCTGGAGGTGACCCACATGGCGCTGCAGACTCTCCTGACCCGCCCGCTGCTCCCCTCAGCAGTGTACTTCATTGATCTGCCTGTTCTGCTCCCTACTCTGTCTCTGGTGAAGCTTCTCATCACCCCCGCACCTCTGGCCTGTACCCCAGTTCTTATGCATAGATGCCACGATGATGCTCAGTGTACTGAGTGCTGTCAGGAAGCCAGAGGTTGCACAAATACTCTCTGTGTGAGTATTGCCCTGTGCCCAAATAGACTTCATCAGAGCAACTAAATAAAACTTTTTTTAAAAAAAATATTAGTTTCCTTTATTTATGCATATAAGAACTAGGATGTAGGCCAGAGGTGACTGAAGTCCACTGCTGAGGGGAGGGGAGCAGTAGTTCTGTGCCATGTGGGTCACTCCCTGGCCAGGGATTGAACTCAGGCTACAGTGGCTGGTGACAGCTTAACAGCACTGAGACTTTAACCCCTATACCACCAGGGAGGCTCCTAAATAAAGCTTTTAAAACAGATTTTATTTATGGCCCTCCCTGGTGGCGCAGCGGGTTAAAGCACAGCACTAAAGAAGTCAAAGCCACTTCCGCATGAGTTCGATCCCCGCCTGCCCCGGAGGTGACCACATGGCGTGGCAGACCTCTCCTGACCCGCCCGCTGCTCCCCTCAGCAGTGTACTTCATCGATCTGCCTGTTCTGCTCCCCACTCTGTCTCTGGTGAATCCTCTCACCCTCCGCATCTCTGGCCTGTGCCCCAGTTCTGTATGAATAAATAAATCTTTTAAAAAAAATTATTTAAAAAAATAGATTTTATTTATTTATGCATACAGAACTGGGGTACAGGCCAGAGGTGTGGGGTGAGAGGATTCACCAGAGACAGAGTGGGGAGCAGAACAGGCAGATTGATGAAGTACCCTGCTAAGGGGAGCAGCGGGCGGGTCAGGAGAGGTCTGCCAGGCCATGTGGGTCAGCTCCCTGGCTGGGGGTCAAACTCATGCTGCAGTGACTGTGATAGCTTCTTAGTGCTGTGCTTTAACCCGCTGCACCACCAGGGAGGGCCCCTGATTGTCCTTTTAAGATGAGAAAGTATGACGACCACCCAGAGACACCCGGATGTGCACACACAGGAAAGGCCCTGTGAGGACACAGCAAGAAGTGGCTAGATGAAGCTGAGGACAGAGGCACAGAAGCAGCCAAACCAATGATACCTGGATCTTAGACTCCAGTTCCCACAGCTGTGGGGAAACAAATCTCTGTTGTTTGACTGTGGTGCTTTGTTACAGCAGCCCCAGCAAACACTCCCCACGGGGACAGGAGAAACATGGCTGGAGTTGGTAGGAACTGGTGTAACCAGCAGATATTGAGCATTAAAAGAATACAGGGAGAAAACTACTATGGAAAACTGTTTGGAGGTTCCTCAAACTGCTAAACATGGAGCTTCCCTACGACCCAGCAATCCCACTCCTAGGTATCTACCCAAAAGACACAAAAACACTGATTGAAAAAGATGCCTGCACCCCCATGTTTATTGCTGCTTTATTTACAATTGGAAAAACATGGAAGCAGCCCAAATGCCCAAAAATAGATGACTGGATAAAAAAGATGTGGTACATATATACAATGGAATATTACTCAGCAACCAAAAAAGAGAAACACATGTCTTTTGCAGCAACTTGGATGGAGCTGGAAAAGATCGTGCTTAGTGAGATAAGCCAGAAAGAGAAAGAAAAATACCGGATGGTTTCACTCACAGCAGGAGTATAATGGACCAGGAGAGAAAATAACAAAAATAATGAACAACCATATACCAGAGACATTTTGTGGGGGAGGAGTGGGGAATGGGATCAAAAACGGGGGGGTAGGGGGGAGAGAAATGCACAGGATTATGGTGATGGCACACGGGTGACTTGGTGATGGGAAACCCGCGGGGATTACAATCGAGATGGAAAAAAAAAAATGTACAAAATGATGTAAAAATAAACTTTTGTAATAAGAAAAAAAAGATAACAGGGAGGGCCTCGTTGGTGGCACAGGGGTTAGTCTCCTCTCTATCAAGCTAGCATCAACCACTGCAGCACAAGTTCCATCCCAGCCAGGGAGGCGACCCACATGGCACAGCAGACCCCTCCCGTCTCACCCGCTGCTCCCCTCAGCAGTGTACTTCGTCGATCTGCCTGTTTTGCTCCCCACTCTGTCTCTGTGTATCCACTCACTGCCTGCACCTCTGGCCTACACCCAGTTTTTGCATGCATAAATAAATAAATCTTTCAAAAATAAAGATACCATTCAGGTCCCCTGGCACTAAGGAATAGGCAGGGGACCGAGTTTCTGCCATCCCACGCATGGGGCAACAATGCAAGT